AAGATAAATGTAAAGAAAATGTAACCTGTAGCTGTATCATGCAATCAATCAAGCTTCATTTAACTGGCACTGGCTTTCATTTAAGAGGGCCCTCAGCCCTTGTGACCTGTGGAAGGGCAAGAGCTCCCAGATTGTGGGGTTGAATCTTGAAATTAGAAAAATGTGAAGTTTGACTCTTCATTTGTAAAAGAAGAGGCCTGAGATTGATTATTTTGGGGGGGGGGTTCTTTTATTTAGCCTTGAGTCCTTTGCATGAATCTTACATTTTTACCTCTGTTGTTTTAAAAGACTTTTTCAAGATGGGACTTATAATTTGATTAAATTACTCTGAACTTTGCCTCGTTTGAGTCATTGCCTCCACCAAATAACAAAAAACTACATTTTTTATTTCCTAACTTACGATTATGATTAATATATGAGATGCACTCTTGCATGTGTTGTGTCCATGAGTGTTTCATTTTCTAAGTAAGTATGAAATCTTCTTATTATGCATGAATTGTTCTTTTACAGGTTAAATCTTGATATTCTCTTATTCCAGGTGCCATTTGCCAACTCTTTACATTGGAATGGAATGCATGCGAACCCACAGCTATAAGCTTGCTGAGCAGGTGCCTATTACTAAACATATTGTCAAGTATAGTTGGGTCTAGATCTGGGTTAAGAAGATGAGGGAGTTTCGGAAGCTGCTAGGGAGATTCTGGGGAAGTGGTGGGGAGCTAATAGAGAAAGGGAAATAAATAAATGTTTCTTAGTATAGAAGCCATAACCTGAAACTTTTAGTCTAAAATGCCTCTTGGAGATTCTCCCATCATAGATCTGAATAATACTTCACATACATTTATTAGATTGGTTTATATGTAGATAACTTAGTAACAGACAGTATGTTTCATCCCCTCTGGATGATGGAGAACTCATCACAATTAGATAAACTAACTCATAGACATGTAAGTTACTGTCTCTTATCAAACTACTTGTTGATAGAATCATTGTCGAGCTTCTGTCATTTCTTCCTCCTACTGGATGTGAGAATAGGAATTGCGTGTACAGCAGGACTCCTACCATAGTCCCTATAAGGAGAAACCCGAAAAATGTGTACTTATCATTCATAAATCATTGTATGATCATATCAATGTTCGTGTTGCTTGCAGAAATAACAAAATAAGCAATGTATAAGCGGGATCTTTTTTCTTTTTTACTTTTCAAGTCCATTACGCTGTTTGGAAATTAAATGTTAATCATGCTGTTTTTTGTTGGATTTGAGATAACTGATTGCCTCATTATACAGCACCCCTTTTTAACAAAGAATAGCACTCTCCTTTAGTGAACTATGCAAATTATGCATTATTCATTTGTTTTTCATATATTTGCGCTTATACTCATTAGCATATGTTTCTTCAGTTTTTTTGCAGGCTAAGGCGATTTGCCCCTCTGATCCACTTGTATTTAATGAACTTGGAGTTGTTGCCTACCATATGCAAGAGTAAGAATATTTGTCAGCCTTATAATCACGTCACCAAAATTAAATCTATTTTCCTTCAATAAACCATATTATAAGTTTACATTCTCCCCTTTGAACCCATCCTCCCTTGAGGTGTTATGCAATTCATGTGATCCATAGATAGTTGGATGTTATGACAGTAACCAAAATGGGGATGTGATAAACCGAGTTAGCATAGAAACTTTGACCAAGTTTTAAACAGCATACTATTTGCTTAAACTGAACTTCTGCAATATACAAGTGCTGAGTATGCAAACTTTTTGGTTAAACAGATGGATATTGGGGTGGAAGTGCTAGTGCCAATTCATTTGTATTTTGAGGACCTGTGTATTTTTTTCGTAGTTTGAAATATAACTGTAGTTCATAAACCTAATGAGTTAAAGCTTGGGAACGTTTGGCAGCTGAGATCTGGATGTAAAAATTCTTGATACCCTTGATTTTTGTTATATATGGATCTTGGCACTCATAATTTCTTCACACATGACTCCGATGTTCCAATTATATATGCTGATACAGGGTTGCCCAGTACTAGTAAAGTCAGCATTTCTTTTTAAGTTTCATGCAACATTTGAATGATTCTGACATGCATATTTGTTATCCATCATTCAGGTATAACAAAGCAGTGTGGTGGTTTGAGAAAACATTAGCCCTCATCCCATCCTCATTAAGTGAAATGTCGGAACCAACCGTAGTTAACCTTGCCCATGCCTACAGGAAGTTGAAGTAAGTGTATAAATTTATCTCTGTGGTCATTTTACTTCAACTTTTCTTGTCTTGTTCACAAGTTTCTGGATGTTTGATAGTTTTTAGCTTACAATGGTATTTTGCGAACTACAAATCTTGTCATTCTTATGTTCTTCACTATTAGGATTAACTCAGGTGACTATCGTGGTGGCAATCAACCCTGCTCATTTCAAGATTTTTCTTGTGTCCATAATTTTTCAGTATCTCATAAGGCATTTTTTTTTGTTTATAATGTTGTCCTCAATTTCAGTAGGTCTGGATTTCCTTGGTCATGCCAGGCATTTTAATTTGATGGGAAGTTGTATATCTCCTCATTAGATATTATCAACTGTGTTGATCAGCTTTTTTATTTATAATTATGCCACTTAATTATTGATTATCACTATTCACTGGTGGAGTTCAGCATATCCGATCCTGATTGCTTGAATCACTGTCACAGGATGTATGATGAAGCAATTTCATACTACGAGAAAGCACTTGCATTATCAACAAGAAGTCTGAGCACGTATGCTGGTCTAGCATATGCATACCACTTGCAGGTATCTAAAACTCTTCCCCATTTTTTCTTTTCATTCTTTTCTTTTTCTACTATAATATAGTGTCAGTGGAGTAAAAAAAAAGCTTTGTAACATGAACCAATTATTTTGTTGCTTTGCAGCAGAGTGCCTGTCTCACTTAGAAAATTTCATTAGCAAGTTCATTACGCGTAAGAGTCAGTGCTGGCAAGGGGGTTACTCTTGACTTGATGAATTTTTTGAAATTATTGTTGATCAAAACATGAATTGAGTGAAAATTCTGATAGGGGGTTTTTCCTATATGAAGTTAATGAGATAATGAACTATTAACATTCTTAATGCAATGAACATTAGAAGTTATTAGTTATTAGATATTTCATGTACGCTTAGGAGGAGTTGATGACTCGGTGATCACTATGTTTATGGAAAATGTGTGTAAAAAGCTAGAACCTTTGTTGTTTAGAGTCAAGGTATTGGCAGTAAGCTTTGGCTTTATTGTCACGTCCTAAGCACTTCAATTTTCTTTATTCTCAAAATATGTTTTTCACCCTTCTCTTTCCAAATTTTTTCTCCTAATGTTCTGTTAATTTGAGGTTTGTCGTTGTAATCATTGCAGGATGACTTCACTACGGCTATTACTTATTATCACAAAGTAAGTGTCTTTCTCTCTCTGTCTCTCTCTCTTCATATTAAATATATGTTCGGTTTTCTGTATAACGTGATATATTATAAAGCATTTTTATGTGGTAAATTTTATTCTCAATATAGTGCTGGTAATTTACTAGAAGCATATGAACTGTTCTTAACATGGTTGGCTGATCTGGCAATTGATTACTTCTTATCTTCATGGCATGATCATTTGTTTGATTGCTCAACTGCCTTACGAATTATCATTTTCTTGGTTTGAAAAATCAGGCTTTGTGGCTTAAACCAGATGACCCATTCTGCACAGAAATGTTAAGTTGGGCTTTAATTGACGAAAGCCGGTGTGGGATGCCATCGATTCCTTAGTTGATCGAATTTAGGTGAACTCTGATTTTGAGTTTGAGGGGGTAACTATATTCACCTCTTTACATGCGCGCGCGCGCGCGCCTCAACCATGCATTAATGTCGAGTTAATGCATTGCAATTCTTATATCTTCTATTTTAAGTTATAGTTGAGGTAATTTTTTTTTTTTTGGGGATAAAAATAGTAGAGGTAATATTTATCATGTGGATATTTTGCAATATAGCCTGTTTGTAATTGATGGTTTTGCTCTTATAATGGTCTTAATCTGAGCTGTAAGTAACTTGGTTTTTTTCCTCCAGACTGTTACCCTGTTGCCCTTCCCTTGTGTAATTTTTTTTTTTTTACTAATTTTTTAAAATTTTCCTCATTGCATTATTTCCTATTTTAATGAAGCCTTGTGGATATTTTTGGACGTTTCCTTGGGGACTTATCGGGGAAATCGAATCTAACACTATTTACGTTTACTTCTACCAAGTGCATAGCATCCTATAAACCCTGCAAAATATGCAGTTTGATCACAGAAACGAGGACCAAATAATAAACAATAAACCCTATTTCACAATAATTACTGAAGAGATTTCAAACAAGTGTGTGAAATGTAAATCTCTAAAGTTTCTGGGTGCTCGGTGAGCCGCTCTAGTGTTTGGCTTGGAGGATTAGTCCCAAGGGTCTGGAAGTATGTGATCGAGACACTTTTAAAGGCATTATTCATCAAGGGCAATTCATCACATTCAAAATACATGCCTTTTTAAAAATAATACTGAGAGTAACATTTTTTTAAATTATAAATGTGCAGTAATTGCACACTATTTTAATATTATATTTAAGGTTATGAAAGATTGAAATCATAAAAAGACGTGAAATCAACTTAATTACTTGTGATGTCTGAAGAAAAATCTTACACAATTAATTACTATTTATATAAGAAAATATTTGGAAAGTTACTTCTAACTTCCAAGTCTCCCTGACACAATTAATCATCAGTCTCTTGAACTTTTGAAAATACGTTGTAGTCATATAATCCTTAATTGTAAAATTTTGACGTACGTATGCAAAAATTTTGAATCTACGTTCATAAATACGCTCTTGGAGTTGACAACTTCATTATGAGAAAGTAATAACTGCTCTTAAGAAATCTACAATTTGGTTTAAATGTGTAGCTGTCGAAGCTTATTTCATATACATATACATATACAAATATATATATATATATATATATAATGTGTGTGTAAGATATAAAACCAGGAGGTTCGAAACCCCAATGTTCAATTCTCACCACAAGTCACTTTGAAATATTGACGTTGTCGGGGCTCTGGCCTCTGACTAGGATCGTCTGCAGTACCAGTTCCGATGCCGACTACATAGCAAACTATCTACCTTGCATAGCAAATAAGGTTAGTATTGTCTGAAATTCTAAGTTTTCTGAAGTGAATTCAGTTTATTGAAATTAGCCATTAAAAGACTAAACCAATCCTAAATTGACAAAAATCTTAAGCAAACATTTTTTTCAGACTCATGCTTAAATGCCTATTTAATTTATCGTCATAGTACCAATTGTATACGAAAATCTTCCATAACTCAGTCCTTCTTTCCCCTGCGAATATCAACAAGATATCTATTCAAACGTTGGCCAAATGTCTTTGTTGAAAATGACTCAAGGACATGCCTCCTAGCTTCCCTGCCCATTTTCTCAGCATCCTGGGGATCTCGAATGAGTTGGAACATTGCTTGAGAAAACTCTCGTGGAGTAGGATCACAAAGGAACCCTGTCACACCACTCTTGATTGACTCAACAGGTCCACCACTATTGCAAGCAATAACTGGTTTATAAGCTGCCATTGCCTCCAATGGAACGATGCCAAAGTGCTCATCCTGCATTAAAGAGCTACATGTAAAACTTTGTTCAGCTAATTCCAACTGGTATTTGGAAAAAATAGAAGGTTTCGCGCACCTTTGGAGTGTAAAGGACACACAGGCATTCTGAAAGAAGAGCATTCCTTTCAGCTGTTGAGCAAGATGTGATGAACCTTATCCGATTTGATACACCTTCCCTTTCTGCCAAGTTTTTTAGCTCTTCCAAGTACTCTACATTCTCCTTCAATCGTTTGTCAAAGCCTCCTGGAACAAGAAACGACAACAGATTTCACACTTGTGCATATACACGTGTGCATGCACAGACACACGCAGAGAAGAGAAAAATCAGAGACAAAAAGAAATTTGAATGGTTTACATTCAACACTCATTTATACTGTCAAGAAATGTTATAGTTATCCCTTGAATAGGTCAAATCTTCCCTCTAACTCTATACATAAAAAAATAAAATAAAAAAAAGGTTAGTAGCACATAACTTTCTTGGTCGCCAATATTTCTTTTTTGAGTAAAAATGGGACCTAAATTTCAATCAAGAAAAGTCTAATACAAACAAGAGCTCAAAGCTAACCTAAAACCTTTCAGCATGCAATGCCTGTAAATTAGAGGTAGTGGATGATCAGTGCTAAAATTCCTACTGCTATTGTAGCCTAAAGTAACAAGATTAGACAAATGAGGGTTAGGATCATAATGATCAAACATGAGGCAAAAATTACAGTAACTGAACGACAGAAGTTTGGTTGCTTCAATGATGTCATGGTAGGGCTGTTCTTCATTGTTATCCCTAGTTAAAAGATTATAGCGGCCAGCACTTTTCGTTAGCACATTGACAGTATTCAGTCCCTTCTCTCACCAATATTTCCATGCCCACCAATCTTCCCTTTTACTATTCAAACTAGAGCGCTGGAAACTTCGTATCTCATAGAGTATGGTATTAATACAGTAGCATAGCAATTGCTTTATTATTTTTCTGAGGGCAGTGTACTTTCTATGTCAATTATCAAGAAGTCCAACTTGAAACCTTCTCCGATATTACCCCAGAATCCAGATCACAGAGTTGATTGTGAAATCATTACACCTCCATGTCACAAAAGACAGTTCCAGACACCACCATTGTGCACGCTACACAACATCATAGTAGAAGATAACAGCAACACAGTAGTTAAGTTGTGAAACAAAACAATGCATCTAACATCACTAAAATGTAGATCAATTTATCCTTGTGAATACGAAGACAAAAGTAGAAGATGCTCACCAACAACAGTCAAGGAAGCATTAGATGCATCCCGACTCTGAAGGACATCTCCTTCAAAGGTTTGGAGCATAGAAAAAGCTGATATTGCTAATTCTATGTTCTTCTTCCTTTCAAAGCGATTAATGGAAAGAAAATTGAACCTACATCAGAAGAAAAATACAAACATCAGCCCACAGAACTTGGTATGGAGTCATATAATTGGTTTCATGCAGAATTTTAAGAAGCTTGCTACAATGAGGGGTAGCTAAACAGCTACAAACGTGTTTTTTACTTAAAGGAATTGGGTTCTTTGAACTGATCCACATTGACTGCTGGGTATAAAACAGCTGGCTGAATTCCTCGACCATCCAGATGCTTGAAAGTATTTGCAAAAGTAGATGCAGTAAATTTGCTGTTAACAAGTATCAAATCAGCCATCCCTACAAGTTGGCAAAACTAGATCAAATGAGTGATTCACTTTATATGATGGGAAAAATTTCAAAGAAACAGAACAGAGACACAATAAAGTCCAACCAGTTGTTATTTCTTCTATATAGTCTATTGGCTTCCTATACATCCTCCTGAGGAAGGTTGTATGTTGAGCCAGCAACAAGTCTGGAAAATGACAATAGAATACCACCTATCGAGAAAATTCAACAAATGAAGCCATTCTCGTGATGTTCAAACATAATTTTAAATATATCAGATTGTAACTACCTTTGCAGACTTTTTAAGTTTCAAGATTGGAATAACTACAGAGACCTGATCTGCCAGTATAACATCAAATGATGGCCACAAGAGAAGAACACAAAGAGCAACAAAGAGACACCTGAGGTACGCGCATAATGCATGAAGCCGGTAGAAAATATGCCGAGGAATAAAAGATCCGTACACAGTAACTGGAAAGGTACCTGGACATTTATGTATCAAACTAATTGTTAAAACACTATTAGGGGTTTCAACTAATCAATCCGGATCAAAAAATAAGGAGGGCGATTACAAATGAAATATAAAGAATAGAAGTACTACACAAGCACAAAGGCTGAGAGAGATTTACCAGCAGTTGTCTCCTCAAAGCATCTATTTTTATCATGATGAGCAGTAAAAATATAAACATTATGGCCATGGGAAGCGAGCTCAACAGCAGCATCCACTATTAATCTTTCAGCTCCACCTACAAAGCATGACAAGATATCCGTAACAACATTAAAAGGAGGTAGTCCTCACAACATCTAGTTTAAAGCAGAAAGTAATGAATTATTAAGGATGAAATGGTAACAATAAATCTAAAAGCAAGGAAACAGTATAATGCCAACAATCTTGTGCGAAATGTGTTTAAAAGGAACCAGGCCTAAAAATTAATAGAGCATTTAGTAGAGATGTGTACTTCGGTGTAGAAGACCAAGAACCATTAATTCTATTGTTAAAACATTCTGCTTTTAAAGAGAGCTCACACACTTCAGAGGGAGAAAGAAAAAGGATGACCTAAAAGAGTTTAACATAAAACATGTTAGGCTAAATCAAATAAGTTGGCATTTCAGTTAGCACCCTCGTCATCATATTATCAGTCTGACAATCACACAATCGACTTTGCAGCCACTACGAATGGTGGTCAACAGTGCCTTATCGCTCATTACCAAAACAAATCTCAACCTCCAATCTGAGAACGTTGTAACATAGAAATTAGCATATATATGATTACCTATGCCGAGATCTGGGTGGATTACAGCGATGTTCATCTTCGAGCTTTTTTCTCTTGCCATCACAGGGACAAGCCAACAAATTTATAGCAAACACATTCGTTGGAGATGACGCATAGTCTATTCTGCAGCAAATGAATATCAAAAAGAAAAGAAGAACAGAGAGAGAGGCAAATGAATAAGACAGAGAGACGGGGGAAAGATATGGACGTCGTGGATAAGCGAGGATGATAGAACTACCAAAAAAATAAAAAACCAGGCAAATATTGCCGGGTCGCGACGGTGCCCTCGTAGGCGATTAGTCAACGATGACCCGACTGCGTTAAGTCAGCAAGAGGAGAAGAGAAAAGACGGTGACACGAAGGCGATGGAGACCGATTTTTCTGAGATGATCAGAATTCTGATACCTGGAGAGGGGAAAACGGCGTCGTCTTTGCCCACCCAACGGCAAATATACCATGAGCGTCACTCGGAGGGGAATGCTTTCGACGGGCAGAGCCACTGCATGCTTCTTTCGAAGAGGCTGGGCCAACAAAATATGGGCCGGATTTTTCAGCCCAGCCCAAAAAAAATGACTGCAGAGAATTACAATATTTGATCCATTTAGACAGAGACTGCTGAGTGGCAAGAGTCCAGACTCCCCAGAACGCCACCAAACAATTAAACTAACCAAAACGAAGCTCATTCCTGAACAACTAGAAAATAACAATGAATGCAATTGATTTCACGATAACAAAGAGGAAGAATAAAGAGGAACAGAGATGGAAGAGCATCCAAAATGGGGAGCAATAGCGAAAAACCTTACCAGGAGAAATTGAAGAATGAGAGAACTAAAATGGCGCGGCAACTAACAGACCGCGAAAGAAGGAAAGACTGACTCAACAGGGGACGGTGGAGAGGAGTCACAGTTCGTCGGACATGTTCGTGCGGTGGCAGCAGTTGGATCTAGAGAACTCGTGTCGCGTGAGAAGACGCTCACGTTGGGGAGATTGTTCCGTCGAGGCTTGAGGGATTTCACGAATTTTGTAACTGCCCAAACCTTCATGGTTAATGGTTAGAGAATCAGGCATGAACCAAATTCAAACGCGAAAATGATATCTAAGTTCCCATACAGTCATTTAATGCGGATAAAGTCTCAAGAGATTCTCAAATGCCAACAAAATCCCATTCTCCCATGGATTCTGAAATGATTAAAAAACCAAAAACGCAATTATTTCAAAACAGACAAAAAAATTTACATAACTAAATTTGACCTTACTATCTCCGGCTAGTTCAGATAAAGCTGAAAATAAAAATCAGGCTTAGAGGTCATGTTTAAATAAAATTCAAGCTTTAAAAATAATTTTTTTAAAATAATCGAGTTTGAGGGCTTAGTCCTGATAAGCTCTGTAAAAAGGCTCAGGTTCAACCGCTCTTCAAACCCTATTATATTATTATTATTATTATTTTTGATGGAACACGTGTTGAAACCAATAACCTACTCACCTGATCCTATATGCATTATATTATTGTTAATTTTAATTTATTCTAAAATTAATTTAATATAATTTAATAAATATCAGTGTATAGTATAAAATTTTAATATTTTTTATTTTTCTATAATATTACATTTGTACATTTATAAAAAATGAACTATTTTTTAATCAAGATTTAAATTTTATTATTAGATTTCTAAATGTGTATTGTTTAATTTCTAAAAAAAATATGAGGATTTTATTTTTTTTAATTTCAAAATATTTTAATTAGTTTATAATATTTAATTTTTTTATTTTTAAAAAAGGACTCATGGGCCTGACTCTAAACCCTTCATATAAAGACTGAGCTTGAAAAATAGGGCTCAAAATGAAAACTTGATTTTAGAACTCAGGCCCTTAAGAGACGAGCTCATAAGGGTTGGGCCCTTAAAAGTCGGGCCTGCCGGCATTCCCAACTCTAAGTTTGAATACTCAAGTTATTAGATATTTTTTAATTTATTTTTTAGATAATTTTAACTTCTATTTTTAAAAAATTAATATTTAAATTTTTATCTTATTTTATTTTATTAATAATAATAATAATAATTTGAATATTATAGCAAAGCTTGAATTTTTTTGAGTTTATTTTAGCAGACTGAATAAACTCGTAATAAAGAAAATTTTCAAAATTTTTAAACTCAACTCTAAGATTTTTCAAATATATTTGAATTGACACGTCTAATTTGGCTTAAATTAACACATCTAAGTGAGTGTTTGTATATATAAGTCTGAATATTAGTAGGGTTAAGAGCAAAATGAACCCTAAAATATTGCACGAAAAATGTTATGAACCTTAAATTCTTAAAATATATAAAACGAATTCTAAACTTTTAAATTCATAATAAAATGAACCATGATCATTAATTTTTCTAACGCCGTAACTGTTCATTTTATTAATAAAGGTCACAGATCTTAAATTATTACTCAAATAGTGTCCTTGATTATAAACTTTGAAATTTCAAGCAAATTATCCTCAACGTTTACACATAGAATATCGACTATCATGTAAACTAAATTAGTTTTAGCATGGCACGTTATGATGAATGACCCATAATTTTTAAAATGATCGCTATTGCCCTCCTTTGTTGCAATTTTTTTCTAAACGATTGGTATCTCATGCTTTTGTATGTTCTATAATTCTAATTTATTCTTATTTTAAATAATATTTATTTATTTAATGGCGAAAATTTAAAATCTTATTTTTTAACAAATAAGAAATTTAATATGTAAAGTTATGATTTACTGTTTTATTATTGTAAATATAAAAAAATTATGAATATTTAAACAAAACTTGTGAATTATTTATCAATAAGGACAATTTAATAATTTATATAAATTCATTAATGATAACAAATTTTTAAAAAATTTATGAGAATTATGATATTTTGAGAGATTAAATTATTATTTATATATTTTAGAGAAATTTTATTATCATTTTTGTTTAAAAATTTTAATTTTATTTTTTTCATAAATAATTACATTATTATTACTTTTTATCAATTCCCGTAGTTGTTACTGGCCCAGAAAAAAAAAAAAAAACAATTGCCGTAGTTGTTAATTGAATATGTGGCTAATAAAAGACTCTAACATTGTTTTATATCTTCAAATAATTAGAACTAAATTGATAATTAAAATAAATATAAAATATTAAATTAATAAAATTAAATTTAAAAGATTAAATTATTAACTAAAACAGATTTAAGAGAATGCAATAGTATTAATTATGTTCGAGGAAAAATTGTAAACAAACGCGCATGCGATCTCATTGAATTTTCTCTTTTGTTGACAATGATCTCATTGATTTGTTTCCTCGCCAGGCTGTCATTTTATCATTACCGCACCACACCGTTTGGGTTTGTATGATTCAATCTCAAATCTCAACCCCAATGAATTGAGTTATTTCTAACTTCTATTCTCCTTTTCCCAGTTGTAACTTTCTCTGTGTAAATCCCACCTCTCCCCCTCTTTCTCTCTCTGTCTCTCTCTCATGAGAGTTCGGAGCCCTAAGCTATGTCTCTGAGAAGCCTTTTTAGCTCTCGGAAATTCTGTAGATCCTTCAAGGAGGTTAGGGCGATCGAGGAAGATGAGCGGAAGGGGCGGCTTGCCGGTGATTCCGACTACCGCGGTGACTCCACGGACTCTCCGCCCTACGGCGATTCGTGGGCCACTATGCTGCCGGAGCTTCTCGGGGAGATCCTTTCTCGTGTTGAGGCCTCCGAGGATCAGTGGCCCAACCGCCGAAACGTCGTTGCTTGCGCCTGCGTGTGCAAGCGGTGGAGGGATATCACTAAGGAGATCGTGCGCTTCCCTTCGCGCAACGGCGGCAGAATTACCTTTCCTTCTTGCCTTAAGCAGGTAATTCTTGGAATTTGATTCCTTTTCCCCCCCCCTCTTTTCTTAGTTATTGGTTTATTTGAAGGGCGTATATGATCCCGTGGAACTTGCTCTGGTTTTCTGTGAGTGTGATCCGTGGGACTGGAGAAATGATTGATACTTGGTCGAGCTTGGGTGGTGCCCTGCATTTCATTTCAATTGTCAAGTGATTTGAATATTCTTTGATTTTTTGCTGCATCCTTAATTTATCTCTTAATTCACATTATCCAATTGAAATGTTAGCTTGGGGGTCTCTATTTTGAATAATATTTTTCTGTGAGGATCAGCATTGATTCTCGAGCCGCGGGAAATCTAGCAATATCGTCTGGATAGTTCGATAAAGGAAATCGAATTGTGAGTCCATTGATTAACATTTCTGGGTACTATGGAACTAACTTTAGTTTGTGAGATGTTTTCTTAGATGTGACGTGTCATCTTTACACATAAGTGGTTGGGTTTCATGTAAGTTTAACCGGAAGAAATATTTGCCGAATTCATTTTTCCTGATTTGCGTTACTTTGTTATCATTTCGTATCCCTTGTTGGAATCAGTCATTTCATTTATGCTTTTGGCTAATGATGCTTTATTTGTCTAAGGACAGTAATACATTTGATATTTGTTTACTTCAAACGATACAGCGTTTCACTATTGTTTGTGAGCATTTTGTTTGTTTGGTAACTTTCTTCTTGCACTGAACTCATATTAAATTAAGGCATGGAGTCAACAATTCTGTAACATTTCTTTGACTTGCAGCCTGGACCATGTGACTCACCCCACCAATGTATTATAAAGAGGAACAAGAAGACTTCGACATTTTACCTATATCTTGCCCTTATTCCTCCATGTAAGTAAGTATTGGTAGAAGGCTTTTTTCCCCCTTCCATATAAATATTCAATAATGACTTCTTCATTGGTCTGCTTCACCCTTTCTCCAGGGCAGCATGTTGACTGAGTAATGTCTTCTGTATGTGTGAAAGCTAGAAGTGGGCGGTATCTAATTTGTGAATTGTATGACTGTAGCCATCCTAATTTGACTCAATATGATTTAACTTTGACACAAGTGAAGAATATTTTTCAAATGACATGACACTGCTTTCAATTGACCGGATTCAGTATTGGATGACCGACTATGGTCAACAATAATGGTATGCGACGTGCAAAAGTTGTAGATTCTACTTCATGTTTTTTGCCTTGAATTTCATTTGTTTGAGCATACTTATTTTGATATTAGAAGAAGAAATATTATTTATTTTGGTATACTTATTATGTTTGAGTATACTTGTTCTACAATTTGAATGCTTATTTGTTTGAATTATTCATGATATGTGTTTTCATTCTTTCTGATTCCTGTGTTCCTTCCTCTAATACAGTTAATTAGAAATTATCTTTTTACTTTGTTTTTAATGAAGTTTGCTTCTTACTTCCCCAAAAAAAAAAATAATAATTAGAAATGTCTGCTCATTTTATTGTCTCCTTTCCTCTCTCTTGTCAGCATTCACAGATACGGGTAAGTTTCTCTTGGCAGCTAAGAGATATAGACGTGGTTCTGGTATCGAATATATACTTTCACTTGATGCTGATGACATATCGCAAGGAAGTAATGCCTATGTTGGAAAGTTAAGGTAAACATTCTTTTGGTGTAAACAAAACACTCCCTTGTAATAAAGACATTAAGATACGGGAAAATAAGTTTGAGTAAGATGCGATGTGACATCTTTATTGTCTATACCTCCAACATGGACGGTATATGTTCTCAAAATGATTGTCAGAGCTATGTGTGTTGTTAGATGCTTGATGTTAGTATGTGGTCAGTGTTCAATCAATCTTTTGCTGCATGTATTAATCTCATTAGTGAAATCTCTTGACAGCTCAGATTTTCTTGGCACGAACTTCACAATCTATGATAGCCAGCCGCCCCATTGTGGCGCAAGGCCATCAAATGGCAGGGCCAGCCGTCGAATTGCATGCAAACAAATAAGCCCTCAAGTTCCTGCTGGTAACTTTGAGGTGGGGCAGGTATCGTACAAGTTCAACCTTTTGAAGTCAAGAGGGCCAAGGAGGATGATTTGCTCACTGAAGTTCCCAAACCAATCATCAGGAGAAAGTTCAGATAGCAGATCTCTGGATGTTCACAAGACGAAAAATGCAGAATATGCTGACTCTGAATACTCAATCTTGAAAAACAAAGCTCCGAGGTGGCACGACCATTTGCAATGCTGGTGCTTAAATTTCCATGGCCGGGTGACTATAGCATCGGTGAAGAACTTTCAGCTGGTTGCTACAGTGGACCGAAGCCAACCAGGAGGGAAAGGAGTTGAGGAAACAGTTCTTCAATTCGGGAAAGTAGGGGATGATACTTTCACTATGGATTACAGGAAGCCACTCTCTGCATTTCAGGCCTTTGCCATTTGCCTAACTAGCTTTGGCACTAAACTGGCTTGTGAGTGAATATATATTTTTGGTCGGCATTATGCCTGTTTATTTTATGCATGTCATGAACGAATAGTTATATTAAATATTTTTTTCCCGCATAGTTTACTATTTGATTCAGGGAAGTTGATGTAAATGCTGTTCATTTATCCCTAGGGTAATGACATCTTCCATAATCAAATGGATCTTAAATTGTCCTGGGCAAATGCTTTCGGTTTCTTGCATTGGCTAATCATGACTTTTTCTTTTTCTTTTTCGTATTGGAAATGTTCTGGGGAATCGTTGTTCTTTCTTCTTCTTCTTCTGCTTTTTTGATAAAGGCTGAAGGTTAAAACCAAATAGCGTGATCGATACGCACGACAGAATCATGTGCTTTTACTGTATTCCATTCGAATTCGTTTGATCAACCCATCTTGCTTCATTCAATTTTTTTTTTTTTTGTTTTAAAATTGAGATTTTGCTTCTTTTTTTTTTTTCGGTGGTGGTTAGTAATTTCCAGCTAACCATACGGGTTAATATAATGACAGGTAAAACACAAGTTATGCAGAACAGCAAATCTTGCTCTGTCCTGCCCACAGTTTTTCTTCCTGCTTTGAGAGAAATAAGCCTTTGGATTTGTACTCTTTTTCCCTTGGGTCCTACACAGATGTCCAGGTGTTACAAAGCCTTTCTTTTTCCTGTTTTGGTTTTCTGAAGTACAAAAGTGAGGTATATTGATGATTAAGAAATTATAGCTTCAAAGATTAAACAATTATTTTTTGAAAAATTTAATTGCATGACAAAAAAACAGAATCAAAATTTTGGCAAACACTTCTTTTTTAATTTGGCATTTTCTATTTGCATGACATACAGAAAAGGAAAAGATCATATACTCGAAGTTATAAATAATTATACAATATGAACTTGTCTAGTCTTGGTGAAGATAAAATATGAATTTTTAACGTTTCTGAATTTCCGTTCAAAAAGGATCTATGTAAGCTAATGCCTTTATAATGCTGAAATGGTACAGACGTTTTTGCTTGTGTCTGTACAGTGTCATGTTAATATGATTTCAAGCTGCAAGAAAGACTTCTTACAGTAAGTTTTGCTGCTCTTGCACTTTAATTCAAGCTAACAAAAAACCAAAAAACACTCTAGATAAGCATGCTAGCCTCCGTTTCCAAAACCCATCTTCCTAGAAGCAACTTTTCCCCAGTTGCAAAATCCAGTTTCGCTTCGTATTCCTTTCAACAAAAATCAGTTCATGACCCAATCAAACATATATCAAAACTATGCTTTGTAAAAATCGGTTTGGACCAAATAAATGATAGCCAAACATCCTTGTACTTGGAAAGTATTTATTTGTGTTTGACAAGTCAAGTCTATTTGGGGCTACAGTTATCATTGACATTTTTTTCCCCAAGAGACACCGAAAATGCTTTAGTCCTTTTTCAGACAGCAAAACTGCTTAGGTCCAAAGTCACCACTTAAGTTGTCATTCAACACAGAACACTGGCCCAGAACATGCACAAGCGTGTTTGAAAAGCCACGCAAGTTCGTTTGAACTTTGAAGTGTCTGAAAAGGCCACAATAAGCCGACTATATGTCTCTCAACCAATCCATTCCTCCCTTGGCCCAAAGGGGGAAAAATCAATCCTTTCCTCTCACATGGTTTGTAATCAATAAAGAATGAAGTTGGACAAATCTTGAGTACCATTTTCAGGGACAAGTGTTCACTACTTGATTCTGTTATAAAAACTGGCAAGCGAATAATTGTTTGACCTCATATCGTCATTTTTGGATATTTTCTTTTGCAAAATCTTCAATTGTGTATAGTTATTAGAAGAATTTAATGATAGCAAAAACTAATAAAACATTAGATTGGTCCGATTCAAATATAGAACAATGAAACAACCATGTTTCGGGATCACTTAAGCAGACATGTTTCAAGGAAATAAACTTAAGCAAACATAACCTTATTTTAGGCCTTAGATAACAAAACACACCAGCATGACATAACACATGATGCACAGAAGTCATGACAACAGGAGAAAGTTCATATACAACGCCAGTTGAAAGACTTGGACACAGCTGACATTCAATGCCATTCTATCCTTTATACTACTTCATTTCTTTCCACGCAGTTTTGCACCAAGAGCTCTCTCCAGTTTACCTAATATTTGTTGATTTGGAATGGCTTTACCTGATTCATACTCCTGAATAATTTGAGGCTTCTCATTTATCATCTACCCAGGAAAAAGGTGAGTCAGTACCATGGAAGCTAAAGCAAAAGAAGAACCTGAAGGAGAAAATACATCTACGAGAAATGAAATGCATGAGTTTTATGGAAGCAAAAAGTAAAACCAAGGCCATAACATTTTTTTGAAATTACAAGGGTAAGCAAAGCTTGAGGAGAAAAAAATAAAAAAACCATAACAATTCCAGTTCGTTTGAAAACCAAACCATGTGCTTCATTGCAGTTCAAAGTTGTGCTATAATGATACTTAGCCCTTAGTTTTAGTTTAAGCTCTCTCTTTTTTTTTATGAGGGGGAGGGGGGGACTGACAAAAAGTTTCAGAGAAAAGGACCTGAGCTAGTTGAGCCTGGGTAAGCTTTTTGTCCATCCGAGCCTGCATGATGGCTTTCTTTAATTCAGTTGGTACCCGTTCATCTGCAAATCGAATCAGACATACAAAAGACTTTGAAATATATAGATTTCCAAAAAATAAAAGCTACCAATCATAGCGAAATGACTTAAAGTGGAAAACTATTGGGAGCAGCAAAGAAAATAGCACAAATAGATCCAACAAGTTTCTGCCTGAATCATCCAATACACTGCATGTACATACTCTTGAATTATTCATCGGAAGAACATGCATAATCCCAGACAAATATCAAGATCCATTTTGATTGAGTAAAAAAAAAAAAAATTAAGGGCCTAAATAGAGATACTATGACTGCAGTATATAAGAGGAGAACGCCAGACAGAATTTGCAGTAAGTAAAAACATGAAAATTATACCTTTTGCAACTTACATGTCATTGCCCCAATAAAAAAATTCAGAGATCTAACTATTATTAATTCAACCTTTTGCAACTTAAATGTCATTGCCCCAATAACTTGATATGTAAAGAATAAAGATTAAATAGTTTTAGTTAGTTAGGGAGTTAGTTGTTAGGATTTTCTGTCAAGGGTCTATATAATATCCCATATAAGTCAAAGAATGGATATATTGAAAAACCCACAAATATTGTTCAGTTTTTCCACCTCTCTCTTTGATCTTTCGTCTCTTATCTCTCTCTATTTTCTGTTTCTCTTTCTCTCTCGTCTCTCCTCTTCCAATTTCTTCTATATTCTACTCTGTTTCTCTCTCTTCATCTCCTTATATCATAATAGTGGTATCAGAGCCATTCCTTCCTCCCTTGTATGCCCGTCACCAGCTCCCAGGCAAGTATGGCTGGCCATACAAACACAAGACTCAATATTGTTGAAAATCAAATCAAACCCCTCGCTGCCCAAATTGCAGAACTTGATTGCACGGTGGAGGAGTCTTGTACTCATCATGAGATAGATTCTAATGAAGCAAAAGAACACCATAGATGAATTGGAGGAGAAGGGCACCATCGACAACGGCAAGAAAGGGAGTACCAACCTCCTACTAGATTTACCAAGATGGAATTCCCAAAATTTCAGAGAGGGGATGTTCTTGAATGGCTTTTGAAGTGCGACCAGTATTTCCAAATTGATAACACCCCTGATGCATGGAAGGTGATGGCGGCTAATACTCATCTTGATGAGAAGGCCTTCCAACAACATCAAACCCTAATGCATGCAAGAAGAAGATGTGTGATAGGGTGGGAAGAATATTCAGAAGCAATACATAAGAGATTTGGACCTACCTATGAAGCGCCTATGGTAGAGCTCATGCGATTGACAAACAGGGAATCTCAAATATTATAATGACGCTTTTGATGCAATCATGTGTAAGACTGACCTAATGGAGGATCATATGGTGCAAATTTATCTTGAAGGTTTACAAGAACGAGTTGTTGGACCTGCTCGTTTACTTAAACCAACTACCCTCTAGGATGCTTAACTCCTTGCACGATTGTAGGAGATCCATTTGACGAAGGCTTTTGATGGGTACAAGGGTGTTGATAAGACTAGAAGAGATGGATCATCTTGGGCAGGTCTATTGCGTCCTCCTTTACGCATCTCACAATTCTCTAAAAGGTGGAAGGATACAAAAGTGGCAGCTAGAGAAAATGGGTCCAATTTCACAAAGGGCAAAAATGTCATTTCGCAAGAGGCCCACTCTAATTCTTCAAAACGAGGGTCCATTTCCTCTGCTCCTTCGTCTCCAGCGCCTCTTTCTTCAACAACTCATGTGAAAGTCACAAAGATGTTGAACACAAAAGACGATGATCTTCGGTCAAAGAACCTCTGTTTTTATTGTCATAAGCCATTCTTTAGAGGCCATAGATGTTCACCAACTCAGCAGATGCAAATACAACAGATTGAGCTTCAACCTGATGCAGCAGAAGACACCGTAGATACTGGAAAAGGGACAGCAGAATAGCAATTTCTCTGTGTGGGGATGTGTCTTCATTGCTGGTTCTAGAGTTCTAGTTCTATTTGTTGTTTTTGTCTTTGGGTTCAGATTGTCGACCCCTGGGATCAAGGGTTTTGAAGGGGGGAGCATTGATATGTAAAGAATACAGATTAAATAGTTTTAGTTAGTTAGGGAGTTAGTTGTTAGGATTTTCTGCAACGGTCTATATAAGATCCCGTGTAAGTCAGATAATGGATATATTGAAAAACCCAGAAATATTGTTCAGTTTCTCCACCTCTCTCGTCTCTTATCTCTCTCTATTTTCTGTTTCTCTTTCTCTCTCGTCTCTCCTCTTCCACTTTCTTATCTATTCTACTTTGTTTCTCTCTCTTCATCTCCTTAAACCATAACATAACTTTCCCTGTTTGAAGGTTTAAAATTTGAGAGAAAAAGAATAGGTGGGGAACACTTCCCCCTTTTCAATCCCTAAGAACCCCGTATTATAATTCCTTTTTAATACTCTAATTCTTTTCAAAGATAGAGAAGAAAATGAAAATTCTTTCATTTTTTTAATACTCTAATTCTAATTTACTATTTTCCCCCCAACTGCATTAGTCAAAGAAGCATAAAAGAATTATAACAAAATTTTAACTACTTCTCGTTTTCACAGGAGTCCAATCCATCCCTTATGATTCAGTGAATAATTTTCAATATCACTTATAATGGTTACTAAAACACAGACGGTTAAGCATTCCCATTGATAAAATCCCACTCATAAACACTTCCTCCAAGTAAATCTTCAGGAAAGACATTGGGTAGATGAGTAACTAACATACGGTAGATTTATGAGGAGTTATTATGGTAAGTGTTGAATACTTCTGCATTAAACAAGTCTTTCTACATCTAAAAATTCAGAGAAACCAAACCATCTAGGTTGTATCTACTCAAAAAGTAGTATTAGGCCTGTTCTATCACAGCTAAAGATGCAGCAAGAAGAGAAAAAAGCATAAAAAAAAACATCTACTTACGATGAAGATTCTCAGTTTCTTCATCAAGCTTCCTTGTGTTCAAAGAAGTGCTGCTGGAGGCAGCTTTATTTGTCGCAGCATTAACTGCAGATTGTACAAAATATAAGGTTATAAAATACTGAAGGAAGTCAAGGTCAGGATGTCTTTTCACGCTTCGATTCTTGTACCAGTTGTAAATCATTTCAATATAAATTCTTAAACTTCATAATTCAAACAAGACGACTATATACCCTCGGATGTGTAACTTTTTGTGATTAAAGACATCTACAAGATCGAATACAAAGCCTGATTTTCACTTTACCTTCACAACTTAAGTTTCAACTATCTCTTTCCTGCCCAAACAATTCCACGGACAAATAACGAAATACTAAATACGAGTAAAACTTGGATTATATGAGGTAATAAAATACAGGCATGTCAAACTTGAACATACAGGCAACGACTCAGATATACAGAGTAGTTACTGAACTACCAAATCAAAAATTTATGAGCAAAAAAGCAGATACACATCAGGGAGCAACGAGGGAACAAAGTAAAAACAATATTCTGTCAACCTAAATGCCAACGCAACAACCTATACACACAAGAAAACCCTGAACAAGGGCACCTTCTGCTTGGCCATCAGATAAAAAGACACCAGTTTCAAAACAATTGTGAATCTTCTATAACCCCCACTCTTCGTGTGTCAGATTGAAATTATCTAAGCTTCAAGCCGACAAATTCAATTTGAATTAATTAAAATATTGAATTAATTTTATCTCTTCTCCAAGGTCCCGATTTAATTCTTCAGAAAGTATTGCAACAATAAAAAGAGATCTAAAAAATCGTAGTTGTTCATGAACCAAACAAAACCCAGCCGAGGGACGAATCAAAAATACATTTTTTTACGGTTTCAATATCGGCGCCGGATCGACGAGCGGCGTTGACAGCTTTCTCATCCTTCTTCGCCGCCGCTGTAGGTGCCTTCTTCCGGATCACCACGGGCTCCCAATCCTGTGAAAGTGGTCCAATCCCTGCCATTCTCTTCCCTGACTGTGGCTCTCTTTTCTGCGTACCTAATAAGGATGAGGAAGAATCCTCCCCTTCCTCTTCCTTTCTTATATGCCCTTGGTTTGGGCCAGTCCGTCGTATGGGCTCTTTGATATTCTCAATGAACGAAAACGGCCCTCTGTTTTATGTAAACTCCAAAGTCCAGATCCAATTATCTTTCAACTGGACGAAAACGCCGCCCTCGCTGGAGGGAGAACCAGTTTCTCCGCTCGTGCTAGATGTTAAAACCCTAACGCACAGAAAAACCCTAAAGCACTTAATGAAGCTGGTAAAACAAAAATTGAAAAGAAACTACTAAATAAAAACTAGTTTTTACCCATTACAAACAAATTTTTAAATACAATTGAGGTTAGATCTGGTAGAAGAGGTTAACACGTGAATCCATGTTTGATAGAACAGTCATACAATGCTGTGTCATAATCACTTCCAATAATAACAAGCTTGAGTGTACTGAAAAGATAAGTTTTTAAAAATATGGTTAAAACATAAAAAAAAAACATTTATCTATGTTAACAAATCATAAATGATATGGCTCAGGTTAAGCGGATATGAAGAGAATGAAAGGAAACACTCAAATTCTATAAAGCAGTATACCAATTTTATGGACAAAGAAATCCTCTATTTCCCTGTCACCATTTTCCCTTCACTTTTTTAATTATTACCGCTGACATCGCTGCATTAAATTGAGTGAGTCTATTTTAACAATAGATTCAATTAAATGAAGAGATTCCTCATCCCAATTTTAACTGATGCTAGTGTTCCTACATGTCAACAATATTTTAATTTGTTAGTGATATTGTGGAGGAGCCAGGGGTTGAATTGCTACTATTATAAATTATAAGAATTAAGTTGTATCACTTTAAAAAATTGAAAAATTAATATTTCAATCCTCATACTTTATCTGAATTTGCAAATCGGTCCTTGGCATTTAAATGTGAGTAAATCCATCCCTATATTTGGCTTTGTCAAACACGTCAAATCCCCATAAGTGCAGCAAACTCTTATATTTGTGCTGATGTGGGTGTTAAGTAGTTTCATACTTTCATTTGACAATACTTGAGCCGTATACAAGCAATGATGCGGCAAGATATCTCCAACCAAAAAGAGAAAAAACAGAGAAAACAGAAAAAAACAAAAGGCAAAATGCAAGGAAGGCGTGGAACTTCATTATAAATCTTTAGGGAAAAGCAAGAATGCAGAAAATGCTTTTTTTGGATTGTTTTTTCAGTGAAACATGACTTCACAAAATTAATGCTCCATCTAATAATATTGATTCATCTTTCCTTACCTCAGATTTTGCTTCTTTTTAATGAAACACATAACTGACAAGATTAATTCTCTCATAATTTTAAGTGTTGACGCTCTTCTTTTTACAGTCAACATTTTCTTTCTTCTTTGTTTGTGTTCTCCCTATTTCTCTCTCTTTGGAGTCCCACTCTCCATTCCTGAAATTCACACTAAATTCAGACATTTACCAACAATGATAGAAGAGAGAAGACAATGAAAAAGCATAGGAAAAGAGGTTGAAATTGATAGGAATGAATAGGAGGAGGTGGATAAAAGGAAAACTAATGGCAACTACAAGAGAGAGAAAATAAGAGACTAGATTAGAAATTTACAACCCAAATAGTCAGATAGGAGCTACTTTATGAAAATGAAACAAATCAAGCATAAAAGAAAAAAATTAGAGAGCAAAAGAGAAACAAGTTGAAAGCTAAGAAAAGGAAAATCATATTTGAGGATGGAACAATGAACCTCCCCAAAAAAAGGATCGTAGCACTAATCACAATGGAGAAGAGATGGAGTCTATGTTTTCTATGTTCCTTGTGTTCATGAGAAGAGATGGAACTTCATTTTGGATTTATTGTTTTTTTAGTGAACCATAAGCCATTTCCATCATAAAGTCAAGGGTTTGGTTGATTATCACAAATCTCTTTTGTTTGAACAGTAAGGACAACTTTATGTTTGATTGTGTTTGAGTAGAACTAAAGGAGAGTGAATAATGTGTATTATTATATCTATGGTAAGTAGTATTTCACAAAATCGATGATCCATTTAATACTATCACTTCACAAAATTGATGATCCATCTAATAATATCGATTCATCTTTTCTTCCTCTAAATTTTCCTTCTTTCAATGAAACATAGCATTGACAAGACTAATTCCTTTGTAATGTTAGGTTTTGACACTCTTTTCTCTCTACAACCAGCGTTCTCTTCTTTCTTTGTTTGTGTTCTTGTTTCTCTCTCTCCTTGGTGTCACTTTCTCCCTTCCTGAAGCTCGCACCAAATATTTACCAACGATGATAGAAGAGATAAGACAACAAAAAAGCAAAGGGGCGAAGGTTGAAATTGACAGGGAAGAACAAGGGGAGATAGAGAAAAGGGAAACCAATAGCAACTACTAGAGAGAGAGAAAAGTAGATTTAATTATAAACTTATAACCCAAACAGTGAGACTGGAGTTACTTTTTGAAAAAGAAACAAATCGAAGTAGCCGAAAAAGAAAAAATCAGAGATAAAAAAAGAAACAAGTCAAAGGGTAAGAAAAGATAAATTATGTTTGAGGACAGAGCAATAAACCTTGCCAAAGAGAGGGATCGTAATACTAATTACAACAGAGAAGAGATGGAGTTTGTGTTTTCCATGTTCCTTGTGTTCATGTCTTTCTATTTTTTTTAGAAAAACTTTAAAAATTTTAATCTAAGCCAAATGTTAATTAAAATTTCACTGGATACATCATCTTAATTTTAACACTGTTATGCTATGTTGGAGAATATTTAAAATATAAGGAGTGTCAACTATGCCATTACAAACTGATGTAATTGAAAGGAGTGAATTAAAAAAATTAAAATTATAAGAATTAAATTGATAATCAATGAAACTATAAAGATAAAAGTTTTTTCTTCCCTTGAACTAAGTTGACATTATCAATTAATTAATTATAAAAATTGAAGTTAAAAAATTATTATTCATTACACAAATACAGAAGCACCCCTGCTCTGTCCTCTTTCACTCGTTGATCTTTCTCCGTCGCTGAACAGGTTACCCACCGCCACACCATTCACCAGAGTCACTGCCGTGAACACCACTCAGTGGCAATCGGACCATTGAGGTACTACCGGTTGTCGCTCTCCCGTCGTTGGAGTATTCGAACAAAACCGGCTCACGCCTCCGTCGTCGGTGATTGTAACAGGACCAACTCGCAACCCTCGTTGTCGTACTTACCATCACAAACGCGTCTTCATAATACAGGGGCCCCTCTCGCCATCTCCGTAACATAACCAAATCGGACGAAAAATAGTCTGGGTTTTCTGGAACCTCTCCGAAAGTGAACATGTAAGAAAATCTATTCTGTTATATGAGAAGAATAACTTCGAAGTTAAATTGTTGTTTATAGTTCTTCTCTACGTTAGGTTGTTTCTTGTAATTGACGTAATTCGTGTCTTTTGTTGATAGCGAGTGATTTGGGACGCAATGTCCAAATCTTGCAAGGGGTTAGCTATGGAACTCGTCAAGTGTCTCAGCGAATCCGATTGTGTTAAGGTTCGTCTGGACTATTGTATTTATGAACTGATTACTTTCGAGATGAATGTTTGTCTGTAATTCTAAGAGTTTGGATGTTGTAAGAACGGCTTTGTGTATGGATTGAAAAATTAGGTTGAGAATCGAACCTATAGGGAATGTGCCGGAGAGAAGGCTCCGTCAATACCTAGTGAGTGTGTTGGACTTAGGGAAACTTATTTCAATTGCAAGAGAGGCCAGGTAAGCGGCTATCTTCTTCCTTGATTAATCATCTTTCCTTGTTCTGTGATTTCACATGCATACCCATACCCATACTCTTTCTTTATTTAGGTGTATTAACTTTAGACTAAGTAAGCAATTTTATCGCTAATTATATTCCAGTGTACAAACTGATGTCGTGGTTCAAATTTGAGCCCCTATGTCCTGAACAAAGAAGAATAACTTCTTTTCTAGTCAATACGTAACCAATTGACTGCCTCTCTAAGCACTTAAAATACCTCAATTTCAGTCAAAATTTGATGTGATTTAGAAATGGGAGGATTAACATGTAGGGCCTGTTTGGTTCAGGGGAGGGGAGGGGAGGGGAGGGAAGGAAGGAGAGGGAAAAAAAATATATATATATATATAGACAACTTTACCCTTAAATAAGTAAAATTGTTTTTTTCCTAATAAAATATGTTATGAATATTTTTAATATATAATTATAAGTATATAATTATCCATAGTTCATATATATATATTGCCAATAATATATTCAATAATAATTTATTCAAAGTTTATAAACCAAAGGTCTGAGCAAGCAGTAAGTTTATTAACATAAAATGAAAGAATAACAAAACATGACAAAAAAAAAAAGAAAAGAAAATAGAGGAATAGCAAAAATAAAATAAAAGGAGGGGAACAAAAATGATGGTGCAAGTTAGGAGGAGGAATAGAACTTGAACAGAAGGGCACATCACAGTAAAGAGAGACTTTTTTAGATTAACATATTATAGAAGGGGTATATTATACCCCTACCCTCCTCATCCCCCATTTTGGATTTCCCTCCCCTCCCCTCCATTTTTACAAACCAAGCAAGGGGAGGGGGGCAAAATCCCTCCCCTCCCCCCCAAACCAAACATGCCCGTAGCATGTCATTGAAGATGGGGGAGCAATTCTTGCCTTCAAAGATATTTGGAAGCCAAGCCTTTTGGAACCTATTTGAAGGACTTGATTATATTATTAGTCTTAATTTTTTTTTTTGGCAATGCTGTGCTAATAAATAACACTTCAAGCTTGAAATGGGCCAGAAGTTGACAATTACAAGTGTTAAGCATTCATGACTGACTACTTTGATTTCTGTGTTTCATTGTCTCTTATGGGATTACACTGACCATTTAGAAAATCCCTGCATTTATTGAATCCCATGGCATGATATATTTTGAGGTGAATTTTGGCAAACCATCTGATATTTCTATAGCTTGGAACTTGGGATAATGCGAACTATTGGGTAACTTTTATTTACTCAAAAAAGGGTTATTTTTTAAATATTTGTGAATGCTATTAGATTCTGTGTATGAATTTGAAGTGATGGAGATGGATGATGATCTCTTGAGGACCATTTTAAAAATTATTCAAAGTGGTGGGGACAAGAAAGAGTCGTGAATGACTTTTTATATTATTGAATATTTGCAGTTCCTTTGTGCTTTTACTTTTGTAGATGCTGGTAGATAATGGTTGGATTAATGTGAACCATCTATTCTGTTTGGTGGACTAAGATATTGGCTGAAATCTTCTTTGGAACTTAGTACTTTTATTCTGTAGGATAGATCTGAGCATCTAGGCTAGGGTGGTTTTGCATGTTGTTGTAATTTTAATGTTACAGTTTCTTTAAGTAAGAAATTTTGAGCGAAAAGTGACCTTAAATTCATTACTTTGGAAGATCCAGCTGATTTAGTTTGTGCCATTTTGGTCATACAACTCATCTGTTGTCTGCAAGGAAATATTGGCCTGTTCAAAACATTTTGATTGTGATTGTACCTGAGTTTGGAAACAGATCAATCTCTCTTTTGCTTACAAACTTATAGGTTAATTCTTTCTGTCTGGACATAACTTAGGTATAATTTTTTTGGCATTTGTTATTCAAAGGATAAATGATGTGCTGCTGGTTAGAGAATTTAAAGTTGGTTTGGACTTGAATCATCATCATCATTATTGTTTGTTTTTTTTTTTTGGAGGTTTTGTGTTGATTCTTGAACAACTCGATCTGGTTGTTTTGTGTATTTACTAGTTGGAATGCCTTCATGCAAATTTTAGTTTCTGTCCATTTAACATAAGGGCAAGACTTATGTATTTAGTCTTATATACTTAATGTACTTTTATTCAATCAAATCCTGACAAGTGAATTTTAATGCATTAATAATATTAATACTAAGAGTTTGTTATGGAATAAATAATCCATAGAACATCCACATGTCTTAATTTAATTGGAAACAAGTGCCTTAAGTGTATAAGTTTTTCCTTAACATTAAGGCCTTGATATCGTAGTTAAAGTTAGATCACAGGAACAGCTTATTTAAATGTGTTAGTGCTCCCTTGCGGTACATCTGAAGATTTGAGAACAGTAATAAACTATGGACGCACGAATAAATGGTCCTTCACCGGATGTAGCATGTAGCTTCTACTCCAAGGAAGATACTTGATATTTACACCGCTCTAGTAGGAAACAGGGGATCTATTTAGAAGTTAATATATCGATACATAATATAGAACACATAGGAAGCTGCCTTAACCTATAAAATGCGAACAGTTTGACAATTTGACGTCCCAAACTCCCTGTGGGCATAGGGCTCACAATTCAGTTTTGGTATAAAGTTCAAAAATGTAACAAAACAGTTCTCTGAGCTCTGGTGTAAATTGAAAACATTTGATCTTAATTAAAAATAACTCTTAGGAGCCATGTGATTCCCGTGTCATATGGCCTCTTTACCTGTTAATCCTTGCCGGAGCCTCATCCATGAAGATTGAAATGAGGAAGTAGTCTCTTGCAATCAATGTTAATTGGCATTTGATATATCATTTTAATCCAAATTTCAAGAGTTTTTGTTTTTTCCTCTTTCTTCCCTTCCCCTTACTGCTAAAGTTTGCCTCGATATTGTAATAAGGTCCTATTTTTGGGAGGTAAAATGCAGTCCTCCTGTGAAACTATAATGTATGTTTTTCGTGTTAGAAAAGATTAAAATGAATGTGTGTCTATATTACGACACAGCTGATCTTTCTTTTTTCATTGTCTCCTCTATCAGGTGGACATGAGAGCTAGGATTCGTGGTAACAAGGGCTACTAAGAGCTGCAGATCTTGATGCTCGGAAGCCTGAACCTTGAAAGATAGTTTTTCAAGCTTCTGAGAAAATAATTTTGGACACTGAACTAACCAAGATATTATTGAAGCTAATAATTGCATATTTTGACGATATTGTTGGTTACATGAAAGTGATAGTGTTTATCGCCGGAGTTTACGCCTTCTTAATGCATTTCTCTATGAGCTTCACTTTTATGAGTTACTAGAGACAATGAGCAAGAATGGTGGCATAAGCTCATGCTATGCTACAAGAGAAACCAACAGGTATAGATAGGGTGATCTTGGTGCTATTGTACGAGGCGGAAAGAATTATGTTGATTTTTGCTTGTGAATTGTACTTTTTTTTTTTTTTTAAACAACTCCTACAGATATAACTATATAAGGGTCAAGTTTAATTTAAACATTTTGAATGATTCAAAGATTCAAGGGCTTGGGAAGTAACATTTTGTTTTTGTCCTTCCTTCCAACGGTCAAACGTTCTTGAATGATAATATCGGAGATAATTGATTTAATCTTCAAATTTAATTTTTATTCCTTTAATTTCTTATATCTTCTTCAATTATTATGTGTACTTTAAGTTTTACTGTTTTAAAACACAAATAGACTCTGAAAATAATTTAATGTGTAAAATATATTGATAATTTGATATGTATATGTAACTAAATCAGAACAAATTAACATTTTAATTAACATTTATATTATAATCTTTTACAATATATTTTATTATGTTTTTTTCCCAAAAAAATTAGCGTCTGTTTTTATCCCATCTAAATATACTTTTTGATCATAAATATATATCACTGCAATTAATATTATGTTATCTTTGTTAACAAATTTTAATAATATTACTTCTTTTTTAAATAACAGACTAAATTGATAGTCAAAATGAATTTAAGAGACTAAATTGATAAAAATTAAATTTAAAAGATCAAATAACTGAAATAATTGAGGGATTAAAAGTAATATTATATCATGTCAACATAGATACTAGAGTAACAGTAAAATTTGAGAAATTGGAGCATCTGAGTTGAAAAAAAAGCTATCAACTTTTTTAAAAAGTCAATTAATTGTCTTGAGTATCAATTTGTAAATTTTAGATTATAATTACATAACGTGTTTCGTGTACATCAATGTGAAACCCCTCAACAATAAAACCATAATTCACGAAATTGTCGCTTCTAATATGTTAGCTTAGTCGAGATATTCACATTCCACGCATGAAAGTTCTTGCTGGAAGAGCTACGAACACAAGCAAGAGACCAAAGTACTAACTACCCAACTAATGGCATCAGACAGGGGAATGTACAAAATTATCCCTTGGTAAGTTGGAAATAAGGGAATTCCCTATCTTCTATATAAACATCAGCTTCCTATTTGAATTCTCAATGCAAATCAGAACTCGCGCGATGAACATCACGATCCTCCTTACAATTCTAATCAGAAGCTCTATTCACTTGAGCATCAGCAGACTTATCAGGCTTACCCTGTAAAAACCATGTTAAGCCTCGTTAACAATTTAGCATTCCCAAGGCAACTATATGATCTCAAGACATAACCATACAGGGCATACAAATACCCATAACTGCCACGAAGTCATAAAGATGCCATCTTCTTAATAAGGTACAAAGACTTTTGGGAAAGCACAGAATTCTCTTAAAAGCCTTCGGTGGGTGCTGGTACAAGTAACCTGGTCGGATTTTACTATAATGCTGACTATGTACTTGTGTTCATAGTTGTGAGTGTGAAATGGATTATATATTGAAATCAAGTACTTCAGCGTTTCATATTTGTATGGCACATCAATTGACATTGGTCTAAGCTCTGCATGCAAGGGCTCAGAACATTTTTGTGCATATACTAAGTACTTGGGAGGTTTAACTATTTCTCTACTAATTTACTAATGTCTCGAAGACAGGAGACATTGTGTTTTGCATTAATTACCAATAAAATATAGTCATCGGTTCACACTCTTAAAAAAAAGAGAGAGCATTGAAAGCAACGTATCAGCAAGCATCAAAGAAACTCCAAGAACTGAGAAGGAATCCAACATGGAAAAGAGTAAGGTATGAATCAGTAAGAAGATTTCTCCCCAAATGTTCCTCACTTTGTCTGACCTGGCAATTGACGTCTGTGGTATTCTCAACAAGATTCCCAACATTTTTATTGAAATTATCTTTCTTTTAAGAACTTTGCAGATACAAAAGAATTTAATGGAATTCAAACAGTTCCAAAATACTTGAACTATATATTATAGATTCACTGTGGCTCCAAGACACCTCATCGCAATAGTTGGTTGGTTGCTGCCACAACCCATCAAACCATGACTTGAACATTTTAATGACAAGTTTCTAATATTTTGTTTGCCTTGCTTCCCCACTCCTAATTATTTATAACATAAATGGTTACCTCACTAACTTGTTTAACAGTCTCATGAACAACTTTAACGTCCTGCCTAACTGGTTCACCAAGCTGCTCCGTGGATACTTTATCGTCTTGTTTATCAGAAGAAGAACCATCTTTTCCATCACCAGCATTCTCATTTGTCTTTCCCTGAAATGTTATTTTTAGTTCCATCAACGTACTTGGATCACAAAAACCAGCAACAAACAAGTTAAACTACCGAACAATTTGGTCTCAAAGTTATCCACCATTAAGCTTCAATTAATCTCCAAAAACTTAGTAAACACAAATGTTTATCAATAAAATTAACTAATTCAGTTGCATATATGTGACTAAGGATACCTAATGGATTCACTTTATACCAGAGCTTGTTGTTTTTTAGTTTACCTGGCAAAATTCAAGATTAAACCTACATGAGCATCAGTTTTTCTGGCTAATTATATAAACACCAGTTTACTTGCAATAAGTATGCATACATTGAACTCCAGAAGGTTAACTACCTCTGCCTCAGCTGGCTTCACCTTGTCCTTGATCACAATGGTTGGAAGCCTATTGATATCCCAACCCAGAACATTACACACAGCATTTCCAAAAACTCTATGAGCTCTTTTATTCTTCGTCCTCGAAATCAACATTGAATGCTGCACAAGACCAACACAATCACGGAATCTCTTTCCAGCATTCTTGTTATCGGCAACACCACAAACCAAACAACGAAATTCTCCACTTTCCCAGCATTTCTTGTAATAATTCCTCAGTTCATTATTTTCTCCAAATAGTTTTTTAAAGAACTCCCCTATCTCCTCCGCCTCATCATCATCATCCATATCATCCTCATCACCATCAATATTGTTGTTATCACCATCATCGCTGTCATCAGAACCAAACAAAAAGTCTCGACAAGCTTGACGTGCCTTATACTGCACTTGCAACGTCGCAAGTATATCCTTTTCTTCCGCTGACAATGGACGTGCCACCTGAGTTGGGCAAAGCTCCAATGGCGGCCATTCTGAGACCACTGGAGCAGAAGCTTGTGTAGGCACTAACAACTATCAACAACCATGATGGTCAACAACTATCAGAATCTTGTTCAAGCCATATCTATTGATGGTGAGGGTTGCCACCACATACCATCAATAATTATGACTTGAACATTTTAATGACAAGTTTCCAACATTTTGTTGATCTTGCATTTTTCACCCACTATTTATAAATTCATAAATGGTTACCTCATTAACTCTTTTAATAGCCTCATGAACAACTCCAACGTCCTGTTTAACTGGTTCACCAAGCTGCTCCACGGATACTTCACTGTCTAATATATGAGAAGATAAAGAACCATCTTTTCCATCAGCAGCATTCTCATTTGTCTTGTCCTGCAATGTTATTTTAGTTCAACACACTTACATGATCACAAAAGGTCAAAAACCAGGAATAAACAAATCAAACTACCACACTATTTATCCTCAGAGTTATCCGATCATTTAGCTTTAACTTAACCTCCAAAAAGTTAATAAATTCAAAAGTTTATACTTAAAAATAACAAACTCAGTTGCATATTAGCGACTCAGGAATACCTAATGGATTAACTTGTATCAAAGCTTATTATTTTATGTTTATCCAATAAAGTTCAAGACTATGAACGTCTGTTTTTTGCTAATTATATAAACACCACTGTACTTGCAATAAGCATGCATAAATTGAACTCCAGAAGGTTAAGTACCTCTGCCTCAGCCGGCTTCACCTCATTCTTGATGATGATGGTTGGAAGCCTGTTAATATCCCAACCCAGAACATTACACACAGTATTTCCAAAAGTTCTATGAGCCCTTTTATTCTTCGTCCTCGAAATTGACATTGAATGCTGCACAAGACCAACACAATCATGGAATCTCTTTCCAGCATTCTTGTTATCGGCCACACCGCAAACCAGACAACGAAATTCCCCACTTTCCCAGCATTTCTCGTAATAACTCCTTAACTCATTATTTTCTCCGAATAGTGTCGAAAAGAATTCCTTTATCTCCTTGGCCTCATCATCATCGTCCATATCCTCCTCCTCATCTTCAGCGTCATCACTGTCATCAGAACCGAACAAAAACTCTCGGCAAGCTTGACGCGCCTTATACTGCACCTGCAATGCCTCCAGTCTCTCCCTTTCTTCCGTTGACAATGGACGGGCCGCTTGAGTCGGACGGGGCTCCAATGGCGGCCATCCCGAGATCACCGGAGCAGAATCTTGAGTCGGCATTGACCACTTGGGATCCAACTTTAAATGTGGGTCGGGTTGAGTCCGTTTCTTGCTGTCCCTCTTATGTATGGGCTTCTTCTTCTTGTTCTTGTTCTTGAAAGTGCTTGAGTTTACGGGTGGGAGAGGTCTAGGTTGATTAGGAACAAAAGGGTGAGGGGGTCTAGGGTTAAGGTTAACTTTGTATTGATGAATCGAAGAATGGGTTGGAGGATTACACGGAATGTGAAAAGGACGAGGGTTTGGAGGCGTTGGAGGACCTTGATGCCAGAGACTGTGAAGGTAAATGACTTCGTTTCTCAACCTCTCTTCATCGTAGGGATCCATCAGAGGTTTTGAAGACGAAAGGCATTAATTCAGGCATTGAACGGACCTCGAGCGACTTCTGATAATAATATACTACAGCTTCATTTCTTCTGTTTCGCAACTCGCACATTCATCAACCCTTGCCCCTTAAAGCGAACAGCGCATGTCCGGATCAACCCGCACAAGATTTGTCGGGTCAAAATTAACGCCTGACTCGACCCATTTGAATATTGGGCCATTGGGCTGAGTTTGGAAGGCCATGATAGTATGTCATGTATGTTCTTATATAGGCCCATCTTTTTTAGCACATTTAGGTATACCTTTCATTTTAAAAATATAAAATATTTTTCTAAGGTTTGATAGTAAAAATATTAGGAATTTTTAATTTTTTAATTTGTAATCAACCTACTCCCTCTGTTTTCAATTATAAGAGAAACTAACATGTGTCACTTTATTTTTTTTATAAATAAAACTATAAATTTTAAAAAGTATTTAGGGAAAATATAACTTTAGATTTCTATACTTTACTTTCATTTGTTATAGGTCTTATTATTTTTTTTGGTGCCCTAAGTCCATATACTTTGTTCATTTAGAGACCTAAAACATCAAAACACAAAAGTGAAAGGATTTAGAACACCAAAAAAAAGTACAAAGATTCATAACAAAACATAAGTAAAGTACAGAGACCTAAAGTTATATTTTTTCAAGTATTTATCAATTTTTTCTCAAATTATCTAAATTTATTTTGTTAACTACAGGGATAATTTAGTACAAATTTTTTAATTTTAAACACAATTATTATATTTAACCAAACATTTTAAAATTGTGTTCGTTGATTATTTTCTCTTATACTTGAAAATAGAGGGGGTATTAAATGAGGACAAATATAAAAAAACGATATTAGTTTAAAGATAATTAACTAACTAATTAGAAGTGTAATTCAATTAAAAATATCTCATAGAGTACTTCCTTCGTCTTTATGTATAAGATATTTTTAATTAGATCATGCAAACTAATAAAAATTATTATATACTTAAAAAAACACAACAATATTTCAATTTCGTCATTAATTATAAAAAATAAATATTTTTTTCAAAATAAAGTTATGAGTACTTATCCTCTTCACTTTCCAATGTAATAAGGATACAATAATTTATTTATTAAAATATATGCTAACAATACCTTATATTTAGGGACAAAAAAATTTTAAAAAACTTTTTATATAGGAGGACAAAGGGAGAATTTATTTTAATGAAGGGATTATTAATTAAGAGTTGAAAATTGGAGAGTTTTTGTGCATTGAATGTGTTGCATTAAATAATAGTAATTGAAATTTACAGGTTTAATAAATTCTACTCCCTCCGTCTTAAATTGTAAGACACTTTTAGACAAAATATCACATACCAATGAACCTCATTAAATACGCTTAACAACATTATATTTTTAAAATAAAAATATAAACTTTTAAAAATACCAATCATTTAATATATTAAAAAGAGAAGAGATAAAAATTAATTATAAATAGAAGAAGGGTAATATTGGACTTGACACATTTAATGAAACCTTAATATACTCAAAGCGTCTTATATTTTGGAATGAAAAAACTTCTTTAAAAGTGTCTTACAATTTGAAACGTATGTAGTAGTAGTTTTGAGAGAGAATTATGATATTTAATATAAGGGTGAGATTTATTACATTTTTTTAATATTACTCACTAATTATTAGAGAGAATGTAAAGAAAATTTAAAAAAAATAAAATGCGAGAATTGGAAAATTTTATTCTTTTTTAGACAAAATTAATGAAATTACCTTTCCTTAATTTCAGAAAGGTGGTTAGACGTAGCTCATAATTATAGAAGCATGAGGGAAAATAATAAATATATAACCCTTCTAAAACTTTTATAAATAAAGGTCGGCACTCTTACATCATATTAAACCCCAACACTGTCTAATGATATGTTATACTTCCCGATGTTTATGAATATAAAAGAAAATAACCAACTCATCATACAATTTAAAAAATTAATTAATTACAATAATTATATTTTAAAATAAAAAATTAAACTAAAATACCCTTGTACTTGACAAATAATTTGACAATAATATTGTCTTGTGAATAAAAACTAGTCATATGATTTCATGAGAGGTAATGTAAAAAATTTGTAATAAATGCTTATGAAAAAGTGTAATTTTGCTTATAAAAAAATTATCATGTATATTCTAATTCTAATTTTTCAAATTTATTTTACCTTCTTTTTATAATTAACAAATTTAAATAAGAGTAATATTAAAAAATATAACTTTTTTAAAAATTAGAGGGACATGCACTAGCGGTTTGAGAATATAAGGGGATTGAACCTGTAACTTTCCATTTATTGGGAGCATGCATATCACTAAACTACAAGGTCATTGGCTTGAAAAACCATAATTAATACCTATTAAATACTTTATATCAATGACCAAAGAACCTTATACAAGGAACTTGTCATTAATAGTAATCGGGTGAGAGTGCATTTAAGTAAACTCGTGATAGGAATGTATACTCGTATCGCAAACTTGGATTGTAAACTCGTAAGAGTTCACCTCTATTAACAAATAGCTATTAAAATATGATTATAAATTAATTTAAATATATTAAAAATATAAATTATTGAAACTAAACCCACTTACATTGATAAATTATCATACACAAGACATAAAAAAATTAAAATAGGGAAACTTATTTTTTATATTTTTGTTTTCTTTTTTATTAATATTAGTTTTGGCATTTCAAGTTTTTTTCTTTGAACCAGATCCTATAACTTTTATGAACTGAATTCTTTATAGTATATGCTTAACTCGATCAACTCAAAAAAGAAAATTAATGAATTTAACAAGTTTAACCAAGCTTGCATTTAGTTTGAATTTATGAATTAGTTGATACAATTTTATAAGTTAAAAATGTAAAAATGATAAATTCGAAGGTAAACTCACGAGTTTAGCAGATTTTGTATCAAGTCCGAGTTTATGAGTGTGTTGATACGATTTTATAAGTTAAAAATATAAAAGCGTTAAACTTATAAAGTCAATTCGAGAATTTATATACACACATATATAATAACATAAGCAAAACCCAAGCTTACAGTGCCCCAATGTCCATGGCAATGGAACTAAATCAAAACCTTTACCTCTCTGTATTGTGGTGTCTCATTTTCACCCTCATTGCGTTTAAGCTCATAAGAACAAGAACCAACAAGTCCAATCTGCCTCCATCTCCTCCTAAATTACCCATCATTGGCAATCTTCATCGGTTAGGAAAACTCCCTCACCGTTCTTTCCAATCTCTCTCAAAGAAATTTGGCCCTCTCATGTTGCTGCATTTAGGTCAAACTCCAACTCTGGTGGTTTCTTCTGCAGATCTCGCCAGAGAAATGGCCAAAACCAATAACGACATCGTTTTCTCTGACCGTCCCTCAAATACAGCTTCCAGAATCCTCTTCTATGGACACAACAAGGACTTGAGTTTCGCACCATATGGCCAAGAGTGGAGACAGAGAAGAAAAATCTCAGTCCTCGAACTTCTCAGCACGAAACGGGTTCGATCCTATCACTCCATTAGAGAAGAGGAAGTTTCAGAACTGGTTCGAAAGATTCAAGAAGCACGTAAGTCATGCGTATCAGTAAATCTGACTTTATTTCTGGTTGAATCTTCGAACAATGTAGTGTCCAGATGTATTTTTGGCCATAAGGACGAAGCTGATGATCTGGATGGTAAAAGCAGCACCAAAAGCTTTGGAGAGATTGTGAAGAAAGTTACGCATCACTTTGGAGAGTTTAGTTTTGGGGATTTTTTCCCTTCGTTGTGGTGGATGGATTTTATTACAGGTTTGGTTCCAAGAATGAAGAGCACTTTTAAAGAATTAGACGCTTTCATGAATCAGGTGGTTGCAGAACACAAGTACGGGACAAGAAATAATGAGAACAAGGACATTGTTGATATTCTTCTTCAACTTCAACACGATGCTCGTGATGACGACGACTTGGGTCTCTCCCTAGACAGCATCAAGGCGATTCTACTGGTATCTCCATATTAAATGTGATCTGATTATGATTTATGATTTCTAATTGATTATAATTTTTTACTGTATTTATTACGTTGACTGATCATATTTGATTTAGTTAATTGTTGTGAATTGATCCAGTATTTATAAGAATATCTCATTTTGTTTTACAACTCTCATATACTATCTAGAGTTAGATTTGGTAACTGTACTTAATATAAGTAATGAATGCCTGTATCATTGACCAACAGTTTAGATAAATTTATTCATTTATTAATTTCAAATGAAATATAAATTCAGAACCTTTATCTATGCAATGTTAAATGTGCTGCCATGAGTATGATTGACTTTATGATTTTCCATTGATTATAATTTTCTATGTTTAGGTTGACCAACCATATTTATTGTAATTGTTATAAATTGATTTGATATTTATTAGGATATATTAATAGAAAAAAGATTATTTAAACTGGCCTATTTAGGACAGTTGTTATAGAACCTGTTTAAAAAATATGTATGCCAATCTAAAAAGTCATACTTTCTGATTTTTTTAGACTGGTTATACATATATACAACTGGTATAAAAAAATATGGGATTTTCTAAATAGCTTAAAAAGTTATGAAGAATGACAAATGAAGATTTCATAAGAACATTAATATGTCAAATTAATATATGATTTCTTTACAATTAAAGTTTCTAAATTCAAAACTCCTTCTTCCATGTTTTAATACTAAATAAACTTTAAATTTTTTTTTGATTTGACATTAATCTTCTCATGAGTCTTTACATGTTATTCTCTCAAAAGTTATTTTTACTAGATTTAAAAAAAAACCCTTTTGTTCTAGTGACATCTCATTTTATTTTACATAACCCCTCTTTCTTTCTCTCTTTTTTGTGCCTTTAATTTCTATAGTTTGCTTTTCGAGTGTGCTTATTTCTTCCTTTCATCTTCTAAAATTGCAGGATTTGTTTGCAGGAGGAAGTGAGACTACTTCAACTACATTAGAATGGGCAATGGCAGAGCTAATGAGGCATCCAGAGAAGATGAAGAAAGCACAAGAAGAGGTACGAACAGTTGTGGAGAAGAAGAAGAAGAACAAATCAAGAATAGATGAAGATGATGTGAGTCAAATGAGCTACTTGAAATGTGTGGTCAAGGAAACTTTAAGGCTGCACAATCCACCAGCTCTTATTACAAGAGAAACTAACAGTACTGTGAAGCTAGGAGGGTACGATATTCCACCCCAAACAATGGTGACTGTGAATGCATGGGCAATTCAGAGAGATCATGATCAGTGGGAGAGACCTGAAGAGTTTGTTCCAGAGAGATTTGAGAACAGCAAGGTTGATTTTAAAGGCCAGAATTTTCAGTTTATACCATTTGGTTTTGGAAGAAGAGGATGTCCTGGACTCTTATTTGGGGTTGCTTCAATTGAATATACACTTTCTAATCTCTTGTATTGGTTTGACTGGAAGCTACCTGAAGAGGACATAGACATGAGTGAGACAATTGGTCTCACTGTGAACAAGAAGCTACCACTTCATCTTCAACCAGTTCCATACTATTTCTGCCCTAAAATTTGACCTTATTTTGTAATAATCGTTTTCATTCCAGTCACCAAGTGTGGCTTATGCATGCTAATAAACTATCGTAATTCCTACTCTATCATGTCTGCAGTTTGCCAATAAAGCCCAGACATGTCCTGTTCTATTGAACCCTTATTGTTTGGGAGAATCACAGTAAAGTCAAATAAAAGAATTAATGACAATTAACTTTTGGATAAAATTTTTTGAAAAAATGAGTTGCAATTGTAACTCTTGAATTTATATTTATTTAAATTAATATTTATACCTTACTTTTTATAAATTTTTATCCAAAACCTAACTATTGTTAATTTTCTTAATTGAAATTTAACTATCATCCTCCCTTATTGGTTCATTTAATCAGGTGTGTGTGAGATTTTATTATGTATATATTTTTTATTTTGTATTTGCAATTTTAATTGCAATAAAATTGTATTTAAATAATAAATATTTCATCAAAATTAATTTAAAATGATAATTAATACTCTATTCATCCCAAACTATATGGCACTTTTAAAAGAGTTTATCCATCATAAAATATAAGACACTTTAGTTAAATTAAGGTTTTATTAAATGTACCAATTTTAATAATATTCTTTCTCTCTCTATAATTAATTTTAGTCCCTTTTCTTTTCAATATATTAAATAATAAAAATTTTTAAAATTTTATATTTTTATTTTGAAAAGATAAGATTGTTAAATGTATTTAATAAAATTTATTAATATATAAAATTTTGTCTAAAAGTGTCTTATAATTTGAGAGTAAAGGAGTATTATTTTTGAATTCTAGACGTCTAGGTCCGCACACCGCCCTGTCCTAAAAATAGCATTTCAAACACAAGATCAGACAGAAAAACACAAGATCGACCATTTATTATCGTTTAGTTTCTGTGAGTAGATTAAGGGGTTTGCCATTTGCATAGTGGAAAGTTAATTTTTTTTTTGAAAGATGGTGTTTTTTTAAATACTTATTGGTGTGTTTTTTTATTGAAGATAATTTTATTTGAAACATAATTGAATACTGAATGTAAACACCTCTCCTAAGAAGAATTTTCACATTGGTTCACCATATTGTTAAGATTAATTCATTCTGCTGGACCAAACTCCTATTAATAACAATAATACATTTAATAACTGAAAAGTGAGAATATTTTTTCTAGACAATATCAATTTTATTACATGTCCTTGGGGTCCTGCTAAAATAGTTAAAAATAACTGATTTCATCCATTTTTAAATATAAGATAAAATAATCAACTCATATAGTTTAAGAAAGTTAAATAAAAAGAATTAGACTAAAATATCCTTGCACTTAATCAAATAAGTTTTCATTAATGTTTTGTCTTGTGAATGAAAACTATAATTTTATAAGAGCTAATTTAAAAAATTTGTGATAAATATTTATTAAAATGTGTAATTTTACTTATGAAAAATAAAATACCATGTGACCTTTCTCCGATATTCAGAAACAGAGCAGTGTATTACATACCAGGGGATGAGTGCACAGGGGACACAAGTGAAGACAAAAGCGTGCACACAGATCCTGGAAAACACTTGTCCACATGCATGTAATCTCTGGTCCACTGTGTTCTGACGATCCATCCTTCTCCTTTCCAATGCGCATTTTATTTAAAACACTTGTCAATCATGCATGCATGTGATCTTATGGAAATGAATGACCACTTTTCTTATCGATTATTTAAAACTTCATTCATTATGTTATGAAAAACTAGCCGGCCACTTCCACCATACTCGACCGTTTTATTGGGATAGTATGACACTTGGATTGCTGAAAATGGATTTGGTTATTCTAGAAAGCGATGGTGGTATATGTGTGTATCATAATATGTCATAAAATAATAATAACATTATTTCATGTTTTTTAACTATTTATTGAAATATATGTAACCTTGAGAAATTCTTGTACAAACAATGCCACGTCATCCATGTTTCACTAGTCAACCCAATGAAATTTCACCAATTCAATATAATAAAATCTTATGTCAATATTATTTTTAATGACTTTATATTTAGAATAAAATATTTATTTAATTTGTTGATTTTTCTATCTTTACTGTATCGTTAATGGCAGGATAAATCTATATTTACAACAATATGAATTATATGTTTTTATTGAATGGAGTATGAAAGACACGGTGCATCGGACCGATCCAAAAGAATTTCATGTAAATCATAAATAATATAAAATTTATGGAGAAATAAATTTATATATATATATATATATATAAACCATAAATTATATGTATGACTAAACACTTGTCAAACATGCATGTAATCTTCTACATTTTTCCTCATCTTATGTGAACATACATGCATGCAAAAATATTCATTAACGAAGCAAAACCTCAAGGGAGGGGACAAATTTCTTTTTTAAAAAAATCAGTTATCATCAATTTTTCCTTTACGTTACACCAGCGCATTTGAACTCATGCAAGATGTGTTGGTAAAAAAATTATGTCATTACCAAATCTCGAAGGGTTCTCTACTGGCTTTTGTGATCAAATTTTCTCATAATTTTTATGATTTACGGTTATATAAAAATAGATTTTTCAGTATTACCCCTTTTTAAAAGCTATTAATTATTAGAGGTAATGTAATGCAAACATAAAATTTTTTCATTAAATATGAACAATATCAAAAAATTATTTATTTTCAAACAAAATTAATTATTTAATCACATTTTCTTAAATTCGATGAGATAGTTAGAAATCTTTAATTTATAACAGAAATCAGAATAGTATATATGTAACAAATTATATATGTTATTCAAAAGCAGGCACACGAAATAATCTTCTTGAAAGCAGATTGTAATATGTAGCAAGTAGTGAAAGAAAGCTTGAAAATGCACATTAACTAGACCGAAAAAGAAACGATTCCTCAAAGATAGTTGACTGTACTGTTTTGTCTGTTGATGGTTGATACATTGGGGATTGATCATATGGGTTCAAAAAGCAAGGAATGAACACGATCCTTGAACGTAGAATCCTGAAGAGTGTAGGTATCATCTCCATAATAGTAAAAGAACGTTGCAGTTCTAGAAAGCTCCCAAGCGGTAACGTTGAAATCACGAGACAATGACGATGTGGCAACTTGTTCATTCATCTTCTTCCATGTTTCATGCACCAAACACTTTATGTGTTCTATGGCTTCTTCTTCTGAAACTCCACTATCATTCATGTAGCACTGAATTGAGGACGGTACGTCACCTGTCTTTTGCTCACGCTAATAACATCAATTCAAATCAAGTTAGACACACACACACACACACACACACACACACACACTGAAATAAATTAAAAAGACTTTGTTTTATACTCCTTCATGTCCTAATTACAAAGTAAAAATAAACTGAGTCTTAAAAAATGATAGTTAATATCCTTAAACTTGAGTTTATATAAAAAAAATACCGTTAAGATATCCTTAAACTTGTGAAAAATGCTTGACTTTTCAATTCTTCCTTTTACTAAAATCACTCCCTCCAACAATCCCATATTAATTTATAAAGTAGGGAGAGAATGGTTTTTTAGTCATATGTATAATCACCTCATTACATTTTTATCACTATTTCTCTATTTACTCCTATTAAATGTTGATAAGAGAAATTAAATTATTGAAGTAAGTATATTTAATAGAGATATAGTTAAAAATTTATTATAAATTCTTAGACATATATAGTTTAATAAGTTTTAAAGTTTTTTTTTCGTCCTAGTGAAATATATTGAAAACGACTTATAATAATTTGGTGCAATTAAAAATGGGTGATATAAAAAAGTTAACTAATATATCTTTGCCGTATATTTAGGAGTAAATAGGATTTTAAAACTTTGTTTGCCCTGTAATTAGGACTTGAAGGAGTATATATAGGATATACCTTAAATGTTCCAAGGTCATTAAGAAGGCGGAAATTAAGTCCTGATACGTGAAGTAGATTTGAATGTTGGTCGTGTAAGGAAATTAAGTCCAAGTCGAGGTCTCTTATGGGATTATTTGGCATCAAAACATAAGCATGGAGATGTAAAAGAGGTCCTCCAATTGAAACCCATCCATTTTCCAAATATTCTTTCAGGCTCGGCGTTTTCCCACCGTGGTACCATCTTGCCTCAACCATGAATGCCTTACAGAAATCTTGCCACTGAAACATTTAGTTTAAAATTAAACTTTAAAGTAATGCAATCATTAATTGGAGAAATGATGTTTAAGGACCCTCTCTAAAAATCTTACTTAAGACCAAGGCCTATAGATTTTGGGAATTATAAAAAAAAAAATCCGAGATTCTTGGTTGAAATTAATATTATTGTGGAGTTAATTTTTCAACACTCTCTTCTTTCGTCTTTTTAATACTCATATTTAATATTTTTTAGCAATTATCATTTAAATTACTTTTGTATTACGATACTCAGATTTAATTTGAATATTTAAAATTAAATATTTTCATATTTAATATTTTTTAGTATTAGTCACATGAAAAAATGAGTAATACAAAACTAGTACTAAAAATTTAAAAAACAGAGTATTGAAAATAATAAAAATGGGTACTCTAAAAATATCAAAGTTAAGAACTTAAAACATAAAAAATGAGTTAGCGCAAAGACATTCTATTGTCAACTAAGAACTTAAATTCTAATTATCATTGCTTTAAAATTTTAAACATTTGTGATCTGTAAGTATAATTGATGCATTTTTTTAGAGGGTCGAGTCTTTAAATATTATTCCATCATGGATTATATATACAAATATATCATAATATAATAATTAACTTGCTACTTGATGAAGTAACCATGTACTTAGGTATAACATATAGTTAATAATTAAATTAATATGTCATACCCCTTTTTTAAGATATGAATGGACGTTATGGCCTTTCTCTTTCTGAATGTCAGAAGTAAGTTCATCCACAAAGTTATAAATTGCAAAAAATGCCACTTTCATGTAATCTGCGAGGCCATCTAAGTCATTTGCATCCCACCTAATAAATTAAAATCACAATCAATTTCTAATTAAGGCAGAGACATTCGAAAGGGAAAATATATTTTGATAAAATCATATTTAAGAATTTAATATAATTAATTAACCAGATCTTTGCATATTGAAAATATATGCCAGCTTTTCAATGTAATTTTCAATATATTTTATAATATTTATGGTGAAAATATTGAACATAATACTCCTTTTGTTAGAAAATGTAAGACATATTTAACTAAATCTCACCTTCTAATAAAGTAGTTATTTATTTTTAAACTAATCCTATCTTTTTATATTTACCCCTATTAAACACCCTATAATCAATATAAAATCATTTATCAATAGGGGCATTTTTGAAAAAAAAAAGTAATGATTATATCTTGAAAGACTAAAAATACCTTACATTTTTTAATATTCAACTCCTCAAAAAATGCCTTATATTTTTGAATGAAGGAAGTAATTATTTTAAAAATGAAGACTTCTATCAAATTTTGAGAGACTGCAAATCTTAAGAAACAGCAAATTTCTTTCACGAAAAATATGATTATAATTATATTATAATTTAAAACACGTAATAATAGTCTTGTAAACATTGATAAACAGTGTTCAAGTGATTGTTAAAACAAGTAAGATGTTTAATATCATTTAATTAATAATTACGAATGATAACAAAAATTCAAACCTGGCAATAGTTTCTGTGAAGATCTCTAACTCTTCCAAAGTACCATGAACATCATACATATCGTCTGTTAAGGTTATTATGGCACAAAGATTCCCAATGACTCTTCTTAACTTTTCAAAATCTGGTCCATCCTTCATTCCTAAGCCCCAAACATAGTTGTCCACCACTCTGCACCTAAAGAAATTGATCTTGTTTTCCAGGTCAGTTCTTTGCCACCATCTTCAAATCAAACAAAAAATTTATCATTAGGATATAAGTAATTTAATTAGCACTTTGACCATATACTCAATTATCATATTTTACTAAAAATTTCTGTTATCTTGTTTTTTTTTGGGGGCCAAAAAGCAGACAGTATTCAATGGCATATAGTTAGGATTATTTGAGGCAAAAAATTTCGTGTGGAATAATCTGGAAAAAAAATTCATTTTGGTATGAAAAATTATTTCTTAAACAGTTAAACTAGCTTAATTTCCACCAAAAAAAAAAAAAAACAGAGTGAAAGCTGTTCCTATAAATTTTTCAGTTTTTTCTTGCAGAATTTTTCACGAGAAAGTTACTAGTATGTTGGAGTGTATTATTACACTATTTTAACTCGAATATGCACCTGAAAATTTAATTGTAAACAAATAAAATGATTCGTCACACACGTCACAAAACAGCTTGCAGCAAATTTTTCATTTTTTTACAGAGTATTCTATCCTAAATTTTCTATTTTATTCATACAACCAAAATAATAAGAAATTTCAACAGATTTGTGACGACATTTGAGACATATTTGCGACGGATTCGAGCCTCGGTGATGAGCCTACAGACACCTTTTCCTTCACAAATCAATCGCAACTCCATAGCAAAATTTTTTTGATGGATTTGCAATAGATTTTTATCTGTCACAAATTTCTTATTTTTCAATGATATGTTATAGTACACACTTGAATGGTTTAAATTTTTATTGATATGTAAATTGCACCTTATATTAGACTTCACTTCCTCCTGATACATGGCTTGAGCCATGTTATAATCCAATTTGGCAAGCTGAAGTATGGTTGGATTCATATTAGGCATTCTTTCATATTCACCAATGAACCAACGAGCCTCCCATCTTGGAAGCCTCCAATGTAATGGAAGCTCCAAAGCATGTTTCACTTGGCATGTCAGTTCATGTTCTGTGTTGTTTCTCACAAAATCTTTCAGAGATTTTGAGGTGAAATTTGTAGCCTTTTCCAGAATCGTTTCATTTTCCATTAAATGAAACGAGGCTTCATATAATGAAAGCATTCCCTTGATATCCTTTGAGAGAGACCTTTGAAAATCATGACCCGTTTTAACTTTGAAGCTTCCAAACACATCTACGCCAACAAATGGTACTAGTGTAAATATACGAAAGTATAAAAGTAAGTCTCTATATTTTAATTACATACTCCCTCTGTTTAAGAATAGAAGATATTTTTAATCAAATCTTATCCCCTAATAAAGTAGTTACCTACTTTTCAACTAACCCTATTTTTTCATATTTATTCCTATTAAACACCCTACAATAAATATAAAGTCATTATCAATAGAGACACTTTTGGAAAAAAAAGGCAACAATTACACTTCGAAAGATTAAAAATGTCTTACATTTTTTAACATCTAATTCCTCAAAATATGCCTTATATTTTTGAATGGAGGAGTGTGTTTTTAGTCCCTATATATACCTTTATTTCATTATCTCTAATTTCTTTAGTTTTATCTGTCTACAACATTAATTTCTATAATTTTAAAAATGCATATAAAAACCATGAGCTAACACTAACGAAATTAGCTTCATTATGACTTTACTAATCCCTTTGCTAACATGGTAAAAGTATGCTGGTATGGAAATAAATTGAACAGGCATGATTTAAAATGAAGAGTAATGCAAAAAAAAAAAAAGAGCTTTCTTATATATTTGGATTAAATAAAATGTAAGGCAAAATTAATTACACTTCTGGGTCACTCAAGGGTTCCTAATGCCAAAAAAAAAATTGTATATTTGGATTAAATAGAATGTAAGGCAAAAGTAAGAACACCTCTGGATTACTCAATGGTTCTAAGAGGATACATATAAGTGAGTATGACACATCATGATCCATAACTTTAAAACACTAAGTTTTTGGGCTTTTCAACTTATATAATTCTTCTCTAACCCAACTCTATTTGATGTGAGATTTTTTTCCTATACCAAGTGAAGTCAAGTCACACTTGACATTCCAACAATAAGAACTAATGTTGTAGACAGATCAAACTAAAGGAACAAGGAACAATGAAATAAAACTATTGTGATTAAAAACAAAATGTAATCAAGGTACAAGGATATCTATTGGTATTATTGTATTTTTCCTTTCAATTAATATAAAGTTCAAGTACGTATATACCTGTGGATACATCATAGCCATGTTGTCTTAAGAGTCGAAACTCAAGTGCTGTGGCATGCAGATTCAGCTTGTTCTTGAACTTGTCCACATTATAAGTATTTTCCAGTATCTTTTTTATCTCACCCTTAAAATGATAACCTAGTCCAAGCCTTTGTAAAGTATCTATAAGCACAAGTTGATCCACACGACTCATCGTTTCTGAAAGCAGTATCCTTACTTCTTCCCCAAGCATTCTGCTATCTTCTTTGTATGCTTGTTCCTGCATGCATGTTGCATATTGACATCTAACAATTATTCGCTGGAAATTAAAACAATTATATATATTACTATAAGAATGGAATTATATATATAAGAATGGAATTAGCTAGCCTAGCCAGACCGCATAATTATTATTCAGTGACTGAATATAATCGTAGCGCCAAACGTCAGGCTGGAAGTCTCCAGATCGACGAGAAACTTGTTGAGTCTGATCAGAAACCCTAACTGATGATGAGGCTTTGCATTCGACTGTGAGGGAAGGAGGATTGAAGCTTTTGGATATGGATGCAACACAAGAGGGTCTTATATTCAGAGGAAGCATGTTAGTGAGAGAAGCAGCTTGGGGAAGATGAAGAAGGGCCATATTACAGCAAGTTTCAAACCAAAGTTGAAGGTCATCAATGCTTACTCTCAAGGCTTCAGTATCTATATATATAGAGGGACGACGGAATAGCAGCTCCAAATTATTTTGATTCTGTGTTTAATTACTGTAAGGGGAAATCAAAAAACATATAACTAATGTCAGTCATTAATGCATAATTATATAAAATATGTTTAAAGTATAATATGAAAAAGAGAGCTTAAAACATGAAATCATGCATGAAAATATACAATTTGTGAAATCGAAAATTCTTCCCAAATATTTATTTGTGTAACAAAATCAATGAATAGAGTGACAGAGAACTATTGGAGGAAAGAAATAAAAGGTGATGGAGGAGATGACATGGATTTTGACAAGCTACGTGGCCGAAGACAAGTAATGAGAATTGAGAATGATGGAGATGAATTACCAATCTATATATAATTAATCTCGATATCATTTTCAATGTTAATATCTATCAATCACAATGCATCAACATAATTTTAATATAAATAAAATTTGTAATAAGACGTATGGTACGTTCGGGTCTTAAAATAGTATATTGATTTTTCAAACTCGTTGAGGGAAAAAAATATTCTTTGTTTGAATGTAACTTAGAAAAAATATCTCTATGATATTAATGATGGAAAAAAAGAATAAAATGAGAGTTTAATTTGGGCTGGAGTCAGGATTATAGGCTGTCGGATTTACAGATTTGGAGCATCCAAGTTTAACCACAGACCTCAACTATTAGGCTTAAAGTTTTTTTTGCATATACGCGCTATGCATTATGATGGGCGCAAATCATTTGATAGTGTTTGAATTTGATGTATTTGAATTTAAATTTTAAATTTAAAATCTATATATTTAAAATGTTTTATTTGGATAGTGTTAAAATTTTTAAAGGCATACACAAGTTGAGATTTGAAGAAAAATGAAAAATTAAAAGTAATGAAATTATCTCTATTTGTTAATCTTGGTTTGGGATCAGAACCTACAAGAAATAAAGGAAGAGGTGGGAATAATAAAGAAAAATGTGGGAAAAAAAAAACAAGAGAGTTGGCGTAGCTGAAATGTCAAATTAAATCATGAGAATTTATAAGAAATTTTAAATTAAGAAAATTATAATAAAACATGAATTTATTTCTCTCATGCATCAAAGAGAAAGCATTGAGGCTGAAAAAAAAGATAAAAAAAAGATTAAAAAAAAAAAACAGAGAGCAGCACGCTTCTCTTTCATTCTTTATTATGGGATTAATTGTACGTAGAGGACACGAGTGAAGACAAAAAGCATGCATGCAGATCCTGTAAACACTTGTCGACATGCATGCAATCTCTAGCCCATCTTTGAATGCTAGAGTAGTACAGTAGTAGACCGTATAGACACTGGTCAACTATATTTTTGTCACAACATGCATGTAATCAGTGACCCATCCTACCCCTTCCCAATGCGCATTTAGAGCCTGTTTGGTTTTTATTTTAATTATTTATTTTTAAAAATTATTTTGTAATACATTTTTTAAATTTATTTTTAAAACAAAAAAAATAAAAATTTGTTTGGTTATATCAATTAAAAAACAGTTTTAAAATTAAAAAATAAATTAATAGTGATGGTTATAAGCAGTTAATGTTGGTGATTAATAATAAAAATTGATCAAAACAAAATAAAAATTTGTTTGGTTATATCAATTAAAAAATAATTTTAAAATTAAAAAATGAATTAATAGTAATAGTTATAAGCAGTTAATGTTAGTGATTAATAATAAAAATTGATAAAGCTAATTATAATTTTCAATAATTAAATGTAGTGTGTTTTAAAAATAAAAAATAAAAAAAATAACTTAAAGTTGTTTCTATTTTTTGTTTTTTAAAAAAATGAAAAACACATATTCAAACAAATTTTTAAATTTTTCTGTTTTTAAAAGCAAAAAACAATTTTTAAAAATAAAAAACAAACAAGTCCTTAAGCTCTTTCTTTAAACACTTGCCAATCATGCGTGCATGCATGTAATCTTATGAATTAAATTACACGGACTGTCATTTTCTTTCTATAAACAGAGAAAACACGTACTGTCATTTTCTTTCATTAACTATGTGAGTAATGTTGGATTGTTGGGAACGGATTCGGTTATTCTAAAGAAACTCCAAGCATTGTTAAGGAATGATCGAAATGGCAAAAGCGTGTGTGACAGAGACTCGGTGCACAAGATTTCTCCTCAAATTTTCCTTGCTTTTATTTGGCCTATGTAACTTCCCAAGTTTTAATCAAAGGGTTAGATTCATTAATTGAGAGATTTAATCAGTTATGTTTAGGAGAAGTTAATTATAGAGTTTGGGTGGCCTTTTGAGCTTATTGGGCCCTATAAGGGGTTTAAAATAAGACTTAGGGAGCCATTGGATTGTTTAGAGCTTAAAATATTGGGCTTAAGTTAGGGTTTCCAACATGCACCATTCGATGATGTTTTGAGGCTAGTTATGGTTAATCATGTTTAAAAGGTTATTAAGTGTTAATTGTAATTAAAGGTTAGTTAATGATGATGATTAGTCATTGTTGTTATTTTTTGGCCATTGTTTGTAGAGCATAGTTTTCAAGAGCTCACGTTGTGGAAGCTCCCTCAAAAATCCAAATTACACACTTAAGGTGGTAAACCTAAGAATTGAGGTAATTGAAAATTTAATTTTAATATATGATTATGTTTGTTAGCTGTGACTTTATTATGTTGATGATGGCATGGCCTGAGCAATGAAAGCATGATGATGAGTATGTTGCCTTTAAAGTTGTTAATTGAGATATGAAGTATGTCTCTTGTTGTGTTTATATATGGTTGACACTTGACTATGGAATAATAAATGGTTGGGCTTGTATTAGCCATGTATTGGTTATGTGAACACGAAGTTATAAGTTGTTTAGGATATGTTGATGTGTGTGTTGAGAAAAGCATGCAAGTTCTTGAATTTATGAAAGTGTTGAATTAATGGGCATGTGAGAATGTATTTGCATATGCTTAATGAACTTGCATGATAGATGGGAGTTCACCATAGAGTAGTTGAGGGTATTATTGAAAAAATTCCCTTCAATGAGTTTGCGCATAGTGGTTAGGCAAATTTATTTTACATATATACTTAGTATTGCCATTAACCTTTGCGAATAGCATGGGTCGAGCATGATGCTTAATATCACCGGTCTTTATGGAGTTGATGTGGGTTCAGCAATTATGACACTCTGAAATTTAAGTAGGGAGAATTCATAATCTAAATGTGAGTGTGGAAACCATTGGTCAGAAAATCCCTCACAATTTAGAGAGCGGGGTTGCCTAGTCACATAAGTTAGACCTATTTAAATTAATAGCTCATGGATTCAGTTAAATAATATATAAAAAATGATATAAAGTAATTGCATTGATCATGCAAATTGTGAATTGATGATGCATTGTGCTAAGTGTAGTTTTACCTTGTTTACAATTGAGCTTGCTTACATTGTTGTCGCACTTTTATGAGGCACCAAGTTAGAGAGAGAAAGAGAGGGGTAAATGTTTGGGAGAATGACGATTAAGTCCTAAGAGGACCAATTATTTTAAGTTAAGTCCCATCTAATTTTAGAATGCTAATGAAGGTTCTTGATCTTTCAGTAGTAATAATTATAATAGAAATTTACAAAGATTTGCAAATTTAGCTCCTAATTTTGTAATTTTATTATAATGCATTTGCAATTTATTTTTTAAATTTTAGTAAGGAACGTAAATTTTCATCTTCAATGTTAAAAAGTATTAAGTCTAATAGTTCTAAGAATTTGCAAATTCAACTCCATATTATGCAACTTTAATTTGTTGGGATACATTTGCAACTTTTTTTTTCTTAATTTTAGTATTAATAGGGAGTGCAAATGTTCATCTTTAATATTGAAAAGTGTTAAGTCTAACAACTCCAAGGATTTGCTCAAGACATTGATTAAACATCATCATCACCTAAATGGGAATGGGCTTAAAAAGCAATGAACGAAGACGATCCTTGAATTGAGAATCCTAATGAGTGAAGGGATCATCTCCATAATGGTAATGGAAAGTTGCAGACCTTGTAAGTCCCCAAGCAGTGACATTGAAATCTCGAGGGAAGGAGGATGATGACGTGGTAACTTCTTGATTCATCTTCTGCCATGTTTTATATATCAAGGACTTTACGTGTTCGATTGCTTCTTCTTCTGAAGCTCCAGTGTCATTCATATGGCACTGGATTGACGACGATACATCACCTATCTCCTGCTCACGCTGTTACAATTAATTAAACATTATTAGAACAAAATGACAGGAATTAATAGGCTGTATGTAGAATAGGGATGTTCTCATAAAACTACACACAACATGATGATGAGTGTCACCTTATAAGATCCGAGGTCATTAAGGAGGCGAAAATTAAGTCCTGAGAAGTACTAAGGGAGATTTGAAAGTCATTGATCTAAGGAATCCAAGTCTTAGTTCTTGATGGAATTATTTGGCACCGTAAGATAAGCATGAAGAAGGAAATTATGTCCTCCAATTGAAACCTATGCATTTTCCAAATATTCTTTCAGGCTTGGCGTTTTTCCACCATGGTACCATCTCGCCTCTGCCATAAATGCCTTGCATATATCTTACCACTGTAATATATGTTTAATTTAAATTAATTAATCATCAATGTAATAAACAAGTTTATGAAGAGATAATATTATAGCTATAAATTAAAGCCAGTAATTAATGTGACATGCATACCCCTTTCTTGAGGTATGTATCCACGTTAAGCCCCTTTTCTCTCTGAATGTCAGAAGCAAGTTCATCCACAAAGTCATAGATTGTGAAAAATGCCACTTTCATGTACTCTGGGAGGCTACCTAAGTCATTTGTGTCCCACCTAATAATCAAATTACAATAGTTACTTTAAGGGAGAGGCACTTGAAGGAGAATATATATATATATATATATAGATGAAAAACTGTATATGCAGATATCTTTATATGAACTTATTTTGTG